CCTCTTTTAAAGCCAATCAAGTTGCTTCTTGCTCATCCTTATACCTTTCACACACATTTTTTGCTCATCCAATAGCCAAATTACAAGGGGTAACAATGTGGAGGGGGGAGGGTGCCCTCTTGGGGGGCTTAAAATTAACAGCATCCTCTGTTTTTGCACCCACAGACTTTATCAGTGACCCAGGAAGTGAGCTGTAGGAATACAGATAAAAGCCAGGGCTTGGGAGATAAGGAAGTGGCTGAAATGCCTTGTGTAGTGGCAGATAAAGCGGAATGCCTGTTATGGCAATGTCCACAGAGGGTTTGTTTCTTAATGCAGTCAATAGCTGCAGGGCGCCTTGGTGGTTTGGCCCAGCGACAAGGCCAAAGGGGGAGGGAATGGGGACGCTGTATCAAGGATCCCCGTTGCATAAGACACTTCGCTTGAGCATGGGAGGGTCTTGCGTTTCCGATTACATAAAGAAGTTTGCGGTAAGCAAACATATATATTTATATATTTGTAAATATATATATTTTAAAAAGTAACTTTAAAAACTGCTTGTATGTAAGGTCTAATTGACTGTGTTGCATTTCGTCTCAGATATCCAGACCCTTTCCAAGTTAGCTGAAGCTGTTGCAGCTAACCTAGAGATGTGTGCAGGTTTTGGTTTTAATTGTATGTTACATTTTTTTTTTTTGTAAATCTCATTGATGTGCACTGTTTTGATACATGCTACGCTGCAGTCCTGTCTGATGAATAGTGGCATAAGAGAGGACCAGATTATGATAATAATGAATAAAAAGTCATAAATACAACAAGGGATCTGTGTGTGTGTTTGTCCAGAATGGATCCTATTTAAATTACGTATTTTCATTTTGTTCTGCTTTTCTTCCAAATCTTATCACCATTGTGTTGTTGTTTTCCTCTGTCCTGTCCTATATGTGTTAATAATACATCATCATTGGAGGTTGGGGAGTAAGGTCTGGAATGGTTTCACTGGAAAACTGTCACAAATCATGCAAAGAGAGGGATGAACTTCAAGGAGTTTCCTGCTGAAAACTGTTCAGTTATTCTTCTTTTTGCCCAAGAAAGCAACACAGCATAAAATGAAAATCAGATAGGTGGGACTTGGGGAAGCCCACTTAACAAGGTTTAGAAAAATAAGGATATGACAAGAATTTGTTTGTATTGTTTGTCTTTTCTGTTTGTGTTTTTTATTTGTGTTATAAAATGAATAAAAAAATTTGGGAAAGAAAGAAAGAAAGAAAGAAAGAAAGAAAGAAAGTAAGTTAGATTCTTCATTTCTAGTTTTTCTCTGAGTATGTCACTTAATCATTTATCAGAGATGGCAGGGAGAGAGGGAGCTTTTGAGGGGTGGGGAATGAGTAATAACCTTGGTGGTTTACTTAAAGGATAGAAACCTTTGCTTTTAAATGTGCATTCCTCTAATCCTGGGATTGGGGACCTTGTGACGCTCCAGATGTTGTTGAGCTCCATCACTCATCAGAACCAGCCAGTAAATCTAGAAGTGAGAGTTGTAGTGGAGGCCTAAAGTTGTCCACAGTTTTTCTAATCCCTTAAACCCACAATTTATTTTCAGCGAAGAACAGTAATGCAGCTAGGGCTGGACTTTGGTGCTAAAATTCTAGGCCCCACAGCCCTTCCCTGCTCCACCCACAAATGACCTCCCGGTTAAAGGCAGATGGTGTGGCAGTTGCAAACAGGCTCCATATCAGCACCTGACTTGGCACTGATATCGTAGTATTCCTTTCTGTTGTCTCCATCACCGTCATTTTATAATTGACAGGCAACCAGCGAACTATAGAGAGGTTATGGTAGTTACAGGTGCTCCTCTTACTGTTTTCACCTTGAAAATATATCATACTTTCCTACATCAGAATGAGGGCTTATTTCCAAGCAAATGTGTTGATCGTTAGATGGCCACCAACTTGGATAGCTTTAAAAGAGGGTTGGACAAAGTCATGGAGGATAACGCTATCAATGGCTGCTAGCCACAATGGCTTGGCTCTTCCTCAGCTGTTGGAGCTGTTGCTTCTGACTACCAGTTGCGGGAAACCACAGGAGGGGAGAGGGCTCTTGCGCTGGGGGCCTGCTTGTGGGTAGGTAAGAAATAAAGTAGACAAGAATATTTGTGGTATAAAAAGTTGCAGAATTTTGGCAAGGAGTTGATTGGAAATGAAACAGTATGTGTACCTTGAAATTTTTGCAGGTGCAAACAATATTGAAAACTTCGGAGCATGGGAAGTCACCCAAAAGATATATAATTTGGCATTGAATATTTGGCTTTTTTGATTGTATCATAATTTGGAATGTTTTAATGTGGTTTTTATAGGATTGCTAAAATGGAAAATTTAATAAATATTACGGTATTTAAAAAAGAAAAAACCCACATCATGTATAACTGCCCGAATACAAATGATCATGGATGCACAACGGAAAGGGCATCTGAAGGGACCATTAATGGCCTAACTCCTATGTCATGGTAAGCCAAACCATGGTTTACCTGGGACCACATTAATGCAGCTTCCTAGAGAGTCACTTGCAGCCTCATTGCTCCTTCCATAACTTTTTACTCCTGTATCATGCTGAGCTAAGCCAAAGTTTTGCTCCACATGTACTCTGAACCCAGGCTTATGGGCCCCACCTGCACGTTACATTTTAAGTATCTTCATATGACTTTAAACGGTCATAGGTTCCCTCAAAGAACCGTGGGAACTGTTGTTTGTTAAGGGTGCTGAGAGTTGTTAGGAGACCTCTGTTCCCTGCACAGAACTACAATCTCCAGTGTGGTTTAAAAATTGACCCTCTTCACAGGGAACTGAGGGATTTTGCCAGGCCTGTAGCTGTTTTTAGAGGCAAGTTGATTCATTCACCATTCTTTAGGTGGTCAGTTGCTGCTGGCAGACCAGCCCTGGTAATGTGGCTCCAAGTGGGGAGACACCAAAAGGAAGACATCAAAAGAGTTTATCCCTTTTGGGTATCTCCTTTGGGATATGGTGAGGCTGAGAACATTCCCTTTGATGATGCTTCTGAGGATGGGCTTGCTCCTGGGTGACAGAGAGAAGCAGGTGCAAAGATGTGAGTCAACATGACTTCTACACAAGGGGTAGATGCTGAGGAGCTGTATCTCTGGTGAAAGTATGAATGTGGCTCATGTACGTATTTTCAATATGGTTGATGGTGCTTCTGGTGGTTTTTGCTCTTTTATATTTGTATTAACTTATTGTATTTATTTATTGTGCATTTGCATTTACTGTACTTTTATTATATCCTGTATTTGTTTTAATTGGTTTCCCGCTTGTGTGTTGGGGGGGGCAGTTTAGGCGAAAAGCAGTACAGTGGTACCTCTGGTTACAAACTTAATTTGTTCTGGAGGTCTGTTCTTAACCTGAAAACGTTCTTAACCTGAGGTACCACTTTAGCTAATGGGGCCTCCCACTGCCGCCACGTGATTTCTGTTCTCATCCTGAGGTAAAGTTCTTAACCCGAGGTACTACTTCCAGGTTAGTGGAGACTGTAAGCCGAAGCATTTGTAACCTGAAGCGTTTGTAACCCGAGGTACCACTGTATATAAATAAACCAATGAATGAATACTGTGGTTAGGTGATCAGAAACTCTTGCTTCTCTACTATCACCCAGAGATCTACCAGTAGATTCAGATTTACCTTCTGTGCACACCTGTGGTAAATAAAATAGTCTTCATTGCCTTTCCTACAGCAGACAGTGAAGGAACCAGGCATATCATTCTTGAGAGCTCATTAGTCAAATCCAGATGTTGCAAGGCACCAATTGGCAAAGTATTAAGATCCAAGAACTTCTTCTCAAAATACCAGTAGCTTTTAAAAATTAATTAAGCTGTGAATGAAAGAGTTCTTGGTCTGAATTGCATCTCTGCTGTGAATGCGCTGGATATTCTTCTTGGAAGGACTTTGACTCCTGCCCCCACAGCAATAAGATAATGGTCTTGGCCTACCTCATAGGGTCGTTGTGAGGTTTGCGACAAGAGAACCAATGTGCAGTGCTTTGAATGCTTGACAGCTAAGTATTACTGTTGCCAGGCATGACTGCTCCTCTGCTCAAGCTGTTACCCCTTCCTTGGCTCTCTGTTGTTGTGGAACTGCCGAGCCTAAGCTTCAACTGATAAATTATTCTTGTACGTGCGACTGACGTCAAATGAAAATGTCACAGAGATCTAAGTTGGCAGGTGAGCATGTGCCAGAGAGCACACACTGAGAGGAAGGTTGTGGGAGACCCGGGTATCGAAAGGGACTGTTTGGGGAGCTATTCCCATGGTTGGTGTGGTGGCTGGGAGTTGTCCCTGCCCCTCCAGGAAATACTCCAGTTACTGCTAATGGAAAGAAGATACTGACACACACACACCCTCTCTCTCTTTCTCTCTCTCGCACACGCACACACACACACCTCGGTACAGATGGAACTACCGAAACAAACACATAATCAAAAGCTTGTAAGAATTAGCCTGGCCCAGTGATTTCAGCAAGATTCAGGTGCTGCAAACATTTCCAGCGTTAGAGCCTCAGTAATTTTTGTGGGAAAATCATTTTTGAGGGCTAATTATTTTACTGTTAATTGTGGAAACAATGTTGACATGCCATTCTGCGGAGATTTTCTCTCCCCCCATTTTCCTTTTACACTGGGGGCTATCTTGGCACCGAATGAAGAATTCAGTTTGAGTTGTTTCAGTTGACAAAGGCATGCTGGCAGTAGATATATACTCCATATCGCTGTCATGACGGTCTATTTTTAAATTTCAACTGCCGGCCAAGCTTGGGCGCGGAAGGCATGTATGTGTTTTGATCATTGTGCCCGCATTTCTGCTTTCACAATGCTGGCTTCTTTTAGGCCATACCATGTTGTATCCAGCTCAATTCCATCCTTTCCTTTTGGGACAAAGCAAGGCATTTTATGTGGTTTCAGTGCACACCACTGGCCTTCCCCAAGGAGTAGGGGAAAAACAGCAAAACATTCTTGCCCTCTCCTTTCTCTGGGTGGGGATGTCTGCTACATGACCATTGCCAATTCTCAACATGCTTGGTTATCAACAGCCTCTCAATGAAAGAATTTTAAACGATTCTGTGACGTCAGAAGGCCAAGAGGGAGGGGGAGACATCCCTCAAGCCCACCGCCAAGTTAAGATCATCATTATAAGCCTGCAGGAGGAATACCTTACATAGCAGCTAATTAGTGACGCCCTCACAAAGTGTTCTAGAATTTTCCTTCCTTTCCAACTCGAGATGGAATTTCATAGAGCTATCCTCTAACTTCAACAAGTAATGGGGCTACCTGCCTAATCCTTTTTTTTTTTTTTTTGCCACGATGTCTGAAAGCAACCAGGAGATTGACGAAGAGTTTATAAATAAGTCACAGGTTACGAAAGGGAACAGTTTAAGCACAATGGACCAAAAACTGAACCTTCTCAATGAGAAGGTAGACAAACTGCTGAATTTTCAAGAAGACATGACGGGAAAGCTTCAGAAGGTTAACCAAGGGATCGATGATTTGGGGAAAGGCCTTCACAGGCTCACCGTCTCACGGACGCCTGCCGACCAGATCGGTGGAGTAAAAAGGGGCCTGAAATTTGAAGACGGGGTTCACCAAATGGACACCCAAAGCACATGTACCGAGATCCTGAAGCTTATAAAAGTGACCCATCAAGATGCTTCAAAGTACAGGGAGAGGCTGGAGAAGATGGAGAAAATGGTGGACTCGGTGGACAAGGTTGTGAAATGTTTGGGGGAGACTTTCAAAAACTCAAAGGTGGTGGATTTTATCCTGAAGGGTGTTGTCCCTTGGCAGAAAGGGAGCCTGGTTGAAACCGCAGAAGAGGTGAGTCCCCCTCTCCCCACGTTGCTTGTTCAAGACCTCCTGCATTAGTAGAAATCTTATCACATTTATTTAGTGGGATGGGGAACCCATGACCCTCCAGGTGGTGTTGGCCTCTATCAGTCCCAGCTAGCATGATCAATGGCCAGCAATGTTAGGAGCTGTGGTCCAACAATATGCTTTAGATCCCCTCCCACTGCGTATGATTTTATATTCCAGACAACTGGTCTTCAACTGATGAATCGGGACCTTGAAGTGGTAAAAATATATGAAAATATTAAAACAGAAAACCAAGTATACATAACTAAGGAACATATTTTCAATATTTGCTGGATTAATATTTCCCATGGGCAGCTGGCTGACCACTGAAAGAAACTGGATGTAATGTTGATAGTTTTTGAATAAAATTGTTTGTGCCCTGGAACTGTATGATTCAATGCTAAGTTTAGCATTCTCTCTGTCATGGTATTCTGCCCATCCTTTCATCTGATTATACTTCCTGAAAGAGAAATAAATTTTTAGTTTTCAGGCAGACATATTCTATAAGCCTTTACATTCTTTTTTTGTCTCTGTTTATGAATTGCTAAAAGAGCTGTCTTGACACATAGCACCACTGTTTCGTTGTATTTGTTTATGTGTTCAGTTAATTTTATCTGTTTTGCCTTTGTTATGTGTTGTCTAAATTTCGGTAAGTCATCACCAAGAGGGCTGGACCAGATGGTTCCCCCCCCCCCCGATCCAGATGATCTTTCCTTAAGTTCTTTTGTCTGGATAGACCTGTTGAGACTCATTTGTAGCAGGAGACGGCGTCAGTATTATCAAGTGTAACAGTATTAGCAAGGGGGTGCAGGCCTGGTGTGCATGTGCGCATGCACAAAAATCACCCCAGAAATATGTCTCCAGTTATCTGTGTAAGGTCGTGAGTTTAGACAAGAGCTGGGAGCTGAGCAGTAGGAGAAATGGCAAGGCGGTATGAAGGTAGATTGCTGGAGACTATAGGGTGCATGGTATATGCATGTGGCAATGTGCTGCAGCTGTCACGGCAAGATCAAACTGCAAGAGAAGCTTCTAGACCTCATGGCACTATGGCACAAACATGTGCATTCCCCCCCCCCGCCCTTCCTCCTCGCCTCACTCTGGATGCTTTAAGTACTTGGGTCATGTAAAATGTAGTAGTTTCTAATATGTCTATTGTAGTACAGTGGTACCTCGGCTTAAGTACTTAATTCGTTCCAGAGGTCTGTTCTTAACCTGAAACTGTTCTTAACCTGAAGCACCACTTTAGCTAATGGGGCCTCCTGCTGCTGCCGCGCTGCCAGAACACAATTTCTGTTCTCATCCTGAAACAAAGTTCTTAACCTGAAGCACTATTTCTGGGTTAGCGGAGTGTGTAACCTGAAGCGTATGTAACCTGAAGCGTATGTAACCTGAAGCGTATGTAACCTGAAGCGTATGTAACCCGAGGTACCACTGTAAAGTGATTTGTGTGTGTGTGTGTGTGTGTTGCCGACACAGCTCCTTGACAAGGGCAACTCTAGGTAAGCCTCCAGCCTAACGTTAAACATGCAGGGAGTTTCAAACCACTGGTGCTGCTACACCGAAAGATGCAACTCTGAACGCAGGCAGAACAAACAGCCTTGCAGAAATGTTCATTGCACACATCAAAGTGGTGGAGCAAGGAGGTTGAGAAACCACCTCCTCTTATTTGCTGTGCAGTGATATGGATTGGGTCCAGAGGGAGAGGGCAAGGGAAGGAGCATTGATTTCCATGGCAAGGACACTGAGGCTATTTTGACCAAACGCTTCCCAGCCCGAATCTGAAAATGACACCAAGGGAAGTAAATGAGGGAAAAGGTTATATAACCTTTGCAAGTTAACTGTGGCAAGTGGGTGGCTATTAGCTGCGATGGCTATGTTCCCCCTCCATTATTGGATGAAGCCCTAAACGGCCTCGGTCCTGTATACCTGAAGGAGCGTCTCTGCCCCCATCGTCCAGCCCGGACACTGAGGTCCAGCTCCGAGGGCCTTCTGGCAGTTCCCTCGCTGTGAGAAGTGAGGCTACAGGTAACCAGGCAGAGGGCCTTCTCGGTGGTGGCGCCTGCCCTGTGGAACACCCTCCCAGCAGATGTCAAGGCAATAAGCAACTATTTTACTTTTAAAAGACAACTGGAGGCAGCCCTGTTTAGTGAAGTTTTTAATGTTTGATGCTGTATTGTTTTTAACACTCGATTGGGAGCCGCCCAGAGTGGCTGGGGAAACTCAGCCAGATGGGCGGGGTATAAATAATAATAATAATAATAATAATAATAATAATAATAATAATAATAATCCCTCTGAATATCCAGCAGCTGAGAATCACAAATGGGGAGAGTGCAGATGCCCTCAGGTGTTGTTTGTGGGCTTCTTGTAGGCAGAGTTCTTCTAAGGTTCCTTTGCTCATCCCCGACCACAAGATTTTGGGATGGCCACCAACTTGCATGGCTTGCGGGAGGGAGGAATAAGACAAACTCACGAAGGCTACGACTTGTGAAGAGCTACTAGTCCTGCTCTTGTACTCATTGCCTGCTTGCAGGCTTCCCACTGAGGCATCTGGTTGGCCCCTGTGAGAACAGAATATGGGACTAGATGGGCCATTGGCCCTGATCCAGCTGGCTCTTCTTACATTGACCGGACTTTCCCTTTCCCCCCTTTTAGACTAAAGATAAACCAGAAGAAAAAGGTGCAAAAGGGAAGCATGCACCTAGCAGCAAAGGAATCCAGGCAGAAGGCAAGTACTCCTTGAAAGGTATCTACAAAAGAAGCATCACAGTGAACAGATTTGCAGAGCGGGCACAGCGTCCATTGCTGAGAAATTTCATGGCACTTTGGCCAATATCAGGACCTTCACTCGAGTTGGGGTCTTAATAAGATAAGAAATGCAACAAATGAACTAAATGTTTATTTTATTTCTTGATTTCAAATATTCGTTATACACCTTTAGGTGCCAGGCAAAAACATTTCTCTTTAACCAGACCTTTGGTTGATCGACATCCAATGCCCTTTTAAAACGTGTGTGTGTGTGTGTGTGGAGGGGGTTATTGGGTTGTTTTTGTTTTTATTGTGATTTTATCTCATGAACTGCCCTGAGATCCGTGGGAATAAGGTGGTATACAAATACAAATAATACAAATACAAATCTGCTCCCAAAGAATCCTGGAAACTGCATTTGTTTCTGTTTCTCTTTTTTTAAAAAAGTGTTCAGTGACTCTTACTTTCCTTCCAGAGGTACAGTTTTCTGAGTGGTTTAACAGTTGATCCCTCTTCCCAGGGAACTCTGGGAACTGTAGCTCTAAGGGGGAAATAGGGGGCCTCCAAACAACTCTCAGCACTCTTAACAAACTACAGTTCCCAGGCTGCAGGTTCGATTCCTGCATTGCAGGGTCCCTTCCAACTCTAAAATTCTATGATTCTAATACTTTCCCCCAGAGAATATACATCCTTATTCAGAGGCTCCCCAAAGTTTTTACAATGAAGACACACCTATCAAGCCTTAGTCTTATTTGGGACCAACATACACATTCCATGCAACTGATACAGGGAACATCATTTTTAAGATTCTATGGGAGAAGTAATAACTGTTTGAAATGGTGTGGTGCTGCTTTAAATGTACAGTACAAATGGAGCCCTAGGCAGTGCTCTCCTATCTTTTTTCCTTTTTCCTTTTGCAAAGTGGGTCCTCCACCCCATATATACTGCCTTCCACTAATGGTTCATTCAATGCTTTCTCTGTTGGCATCACTTCTGTCCTTAGGAAACAAAAGGGAGAGGAAGTTGGATGGCAGTGATGGAGCATGTGAAAAGGTGAACGTGGCTGGTCCGGTCCTTTCCAAAGTTGACTGCAGTCCAAGTACGGAACAGCAGGCGGCCCAGTTGGAAACCAAAGAAGCTCAGGGACAGGCAGGTGACCCCAAAGCTTGCCCAAAGCAAAAGGACGCTGCTGGGGTCAGTGCCGTGCTCCAGAACAATGGCCTCTCCTGCGTAAGCAGCGGCAATCCAGCTGGATGCCAGAAGACAGACAAAGCCTCTGGCCTGGAAGATCCTCTTAAGAAGCATGTCAATCCAAAAGCGAAGGGAAATGAAAACGAGGATTCCCGGCTTGGTGCTCCTTCTGTGAAAACTGTGTCATCTGCCTCTAAGCCTGGTGGTGAAGTTATACGGACAAGGTAATGGCATAGCCTAGAGGTGGGCAAAGCTTTTTCACCTTGCGAACAAGGCTTCCGGGGACTGCATGCTCATGGTGGTGGTGGTGGTCAGGGATAAAAGTGGGTGGAGCAACAGAGGTGACTCATAATTTTGTAGGGTAGGCTATGTGCCAACCATGCAGCAGCCAGAGTCTTAGAGAGACAGGGCTGTCTCTCCTCCCAGGCAAGCAAGGGGCATGATTGTAATTCAAGGACACATTCTAAGCAGGCAAAAGTTCTCAAGGGAGGCATCAGAGCAGGGTAGCTGAGGGGTAGTACCTGGGGAATGGGCCTGGGGAAAGCCCCGAGGGCTAGATAGAAAAGCTCAGAGAGCCACATTCAGACATCGGGTTCCCCACCTTTGGCATAGCCTCTTATTTTCTCGTAAAATGCTTCTGAATACCGGTTGCTGGAAAACACAGGAGGAGAGAGTGCTCTCATGTTTGGGTCTTGCTTGTGGGTTTCTCATTGCAGGCATCTGGTTGGCAGCTGTGAGAATAGGATGCTGAGCTGGGTGGGTCATTGGCCTAATCCAGCAGGCTCTTCTTACGTTCTTATCTGGACTGGAGGGCACCATGTTGGTTACTCTTGAACTAAAGCTGTATACAAAATGTGGCCGGGGAGGGGCATTGCTCATGCTACAAGATGCTCTTTAGATCCAGGGTTATATACTTAAAACAAACAAACAAACAAACAAACACAAAAAAATTCCCTCCACTGCAGGCTTCTGGAACAATGTTATTGACAAGTAAATATATTCAGCAACCAGGGACAGCCTGCGCATGAGGCAAGGAGAAGCAATTGGCTCTGGGTGGCAGGCTCTGGACTGTTGCAGGGGGGCGGGGAGAGACAAGGGACCACAAGTTTGCCTAGGTTGTGTCCAGCAGATGGCAGTATTAGAAAAACAGGCATTGCACCAAACAGGTTGCTTTGTGTTCCTGCCATGTTGAAACCTTGATCAGGCAATACCTTGAACTGCGATCAGCTTGGTCATGCTGCCAAAGCTTTCACCTTGCAATAGTCTTAAGTGAAGGAAGTATTCTGCAGGCTTAATTAGGGTAGGTCAGCCTTCCGCAACCTCTAGGTGTTTGGAACTACAGCTCCCATCAGCCTCAGCTGGCACAGCTGCTCTGAATCATATTTCCAGTAGGAAGACAAAAACCCCACAAAGGTAATACCTTCATTAGGGCCAGCTAAAACAGTGGCTCCCAAAGGGGGCAGTGGGATTATCTAGTGGGGTGCTAAGAGGCAAGGGGGCAGCAGGGAGGTGCTGGAGATGCGAATAACCGTCAGACTTTGAAAAGCTGGTATCAATGGATCAAGTTCATCCATTTGGTCGATTTAATTAAACTAAATAGTTTCAATTGGATTTTGACTAAATGTGCAATTAATTGTTACTGCTTTGAATTTTATTGTCGTATTATCTTCTTTAGTGGGTTGTGCAGAATGCTGTTGTGAACAATGCTTTTCATGGGGTAGGATAGGGAGCACTGAGGATGAGTTTGTGGAACCAAGGGGGAAGTGGTCCAAATAACTTTGGGAACCACGGAGCTAAAAGTTCACAAGGAAACATCTGAAACTGAAAAGTGTTTGCTCCGCAGGCTTTCGATCAACATGGAAATGAGTGATGCCCAAGACAAAGCATTGAAGGGGAAAGACGCTGGTGTTGGAAGCCAAGGAGGCAACAGCAACGGAGCATCAGCAATTTGCCCACCGCTATCAAAAGGTGAAGGAACAAAATGCTTGCCAGACTCTTGTAAAGCTAAGCAGCCCTCGAAGAACAGCAGGGCTGAGCCAGCCCAAGAACCAAGAGGGGCAAAGTCTTCGGATAAGCAATCTGAGCAGGCGCCCAAACTGATGGGTCCTCCTCCTCCATCACCACTTAAGAAGACCGAAGGGAGAGCAGAAGTCAAATGCAAAATGGCTCCATGCCCAAATTCAGTGGCAAGGGACTCTGGGAAAGATCCAGGAGGCAAAGTGAAAGCTCCCAAGGAAACGACAAGGATAACGCAAGACTCTGTGAAAGACAGCAGATTGGAGACTGTGGAATCGGGTAGCTCACCTGCAGAAAGGGAAGAGAGAAGAAGACCCAGTCAGGTTGCCACAAAACTGACTGAAGATGCTGTGTCTTTAGGAGCCGGTAAAGTGGAGGAGGTCATCATTGGTAAGAAGCTGGACATGTGCTACCCAGACACGCCTGGGTCACATGGACACTACAAATCTAAAATATTTTGAAACTGATTCAGTGGCATTGAGGTTCAGTTGGACACTATGTCCATTGAGTGCAGTATTGCCCACACTGACTGGCAGTAGCTCTCCAGGATTTCAGGAAGGGGGTTCTTGTGGTCCTACCTGGAGATGCCAGGAGTTGAATCTGGGACATGCCAAGCAGATGCTCCTCCAGTGAGCTTTGGCCCTTTCATTAGTTTCATTAGCAGTTTCCTATCAACCCACTGACCAGACAAAGACCTGTTTAGGTCCAGCAAGGGAGGGCTTTAATTTTTTTATTGGAAATTTTATTTACAACATAACATAAATCCCCCACCCTCCCCAATACAGAAATCCACCTTCATTAAATGTGAGCATAACACGGGCTTTCAGACCAGGGGTGGGGGGACAGTAGGGGCTTAATTTGCAAATAGGTCATTGAGATGAATTGGTCAATTCTGGCTCCCTTCAGCTTCTCATTTTTCCAGTCTTAAATTCCATTCCTTTCATTTCCACTTCACTTTGCATTAAATAAACAAGTCCTGATGAAGATTCACCGGTATCTTAGTGTTAATTTGGTATGCCACTTTGCCTAACATGCACAATTTTTGCAAAGAGGTTCCTAATGTAATGCATTTTTGCATTCCAATGTATGCATTTTGTATGCACACTTTAACGCCAGTACATACATTTTTGTACACATTCCCTTGGCTGGTGAAAGGCATGGCAAAACTGTGAGGAAGACAATGATTTTCAAGTGGGTGGGACATCACACAATATAGGCAAAATTGCCTATAGCGTACAGACACTCTTGACATTTTAACAGCCTCATGTCAAACTGGTTGAGCAGATTTCAGAAGCACTCGAAGACCTATAGGCTGCATGGAATAATTAGTTGAGCGTACTCACCATAACCAGTTATGATTGGATCAAGTTAATAAATTCTGTTGATCTAATAGATTTTGTTGATTTATTTAAACTAAATAGTTTTAGTTGGATTTTGACTACATGTGCACACAAGAAAAACTAGTGCCATAAGCACCATTTGTTTCTGCTTCAGATGACAGCCCTCCGCCTCCTGCTCCTTTTGAACATCGGATCGTGAGTATCAAGCAAACTGAGCTGACGGCGTGTTACTCTGTGTGCCATCACGAAGTCTTGGGAGGGTGAGTCCCGCTAAAACGCCCTCATTATTTTTATATATTTAAAAATCATACCAGGTATGATAACATCTAAACCCAGGGGTGAGAGACGGGATATGGTTGCCGAGCCAGAAGAAGAGGGAAGATCAGTGTTGCCCAAAGTGGGCAGTTGTGGCTGCTGGGGGTTGGTGGGGTTACCTAAGCAAGCAGGGGTGCCAACTTTAATAAAACATTGGAAGGAGGCCCAGGGAAGCCATATCCTGCATAAGCGATCACATGATGTGGTGCATGCACACCATTTGAATGGCAATGCCCATCAACTTAGGGGGAGCCTGGCCCCCTCAAATATTTTTATTGTGGGGCTGAAGACGCCTCGGAGTTGACTCCTAAGCAAGGGGGTAGCAGCGGGGCACTGGAGATGTAAATAACTATCAGACTTTGAAAAACTAGTACCACCGGATCAAGTCCATCAGTTTTGTTGAATTAATTCAACTACATCATTTTAATTAGATTTTGAATACATGAGAAATTAATTGTTACTGTTTCTATTTTTTAATCTTTTATCTTTGTAATTATCATTATTATTCATTTCATTCCTATACCACTTTATATATTTTTTAAACAATAATCTAAAAGCGGTTTGCAATAAAGCATCAAATGAAACAATCCAGAATAAGACCTTACACAAGAAAATCAAGTATAAAATAGAGTACATTCAAAGCAACTTGATTAACAGGAACTTGAAATACTACCTGAAAAGATTTCAAAACAAAACATTGCCAAGGAGGTGAAGTACAGAATACATTTAGCGCAGCAGAGTAAACAACAGCAACAAACTCAAAACCAATTATCTTAACATTATAAAGGAAGTCGAATGTAAAATGCACATTTAAAACAACATAATTGGTGAGAGAATAAAGTATTATCTTAAGCATGGACCAATGATGCTGCTGTTGCTATCAGTCTTGCCAATGTTGGCTCATGTTAGGCAGTGGCTGTGGAAGTTTGGGCTTTATGACCTGGGTCTGCACTAAGAGGCAGCTAAGATGGTCTTCCTTAGTGTGTTGTGCAAACCGCAGTTCTGAATAATGCCCTTTTAATTCCCACAGTGGTTTAACAACTAGTCTCTTTTCCTAGGAGACTCTGGAAACTGTAGCCGTATGGATCTCCTAACAATTCTCATAACCCTTAACAAACCAGAGTTCCCAGGATTCTTTGGGGTGGAACCATGCCTGTTTAAAGTGCTATGATACTGCTTTAAACACGTAGAGCAGATGGGGCCTTACTCAGGTCCTTTCATGTCAATGGGTCTATCTTGGGTAGGACTTAGTGGAGAAAACCCTACAATGTTACTTTGACATTTCCCAACATCTGGACTCAGGTTGTAATGTAGAAATTGAGAACGCCCGCCCGTAGCTACCGACTCTGGCATCATTTAGAAACAAACAGATTTAGCACAGAAATATCCACTCGAAGGAAGCTTCGGTAATGTGTTGCTAAAGGACAGAGACCAGGCGTGTCCAGTTACGGAACCCAACACAGACCACCGTCAGGTTGTCATTCCACGGTGAAAACGAGGAATACAAATGGGGTGTAATATTTTAACGTAAGCACTGGACAACTGGCTGGAAAGATCAAGCCTAATCCCCCCCTAAGCTGGGAGAAAGAAGAGCCCTTAGACCTCCCGACCTCCACGATTCCGTTCCCTTTGTACCAAGTTATTTTTAATTGACGATAAGAATAGTTTGTCTCCGGAGGCGTCTGCGGTGAGTGGGCCTCTAAGCCGCTTCCCCTCCGGGCTTCACTGCTTTGTCTTCTCCATCAACAGGGGGCGTTTTGGTCAAGTTCACAAGTGCACCGAAAAGTCAACGGGACTCTGCCTGGCAGCCAAGATCATCAAAGTGAAAGTAGCAAAAGAAAGGGTAATTATATCCTCGTTAAAAATAAAAAAGCAAGGCAAAGAGTGGGGACCTTTTCTTTCAAGCCACGTCTAGCCATTGCCTCCAAGCAAGACATCCTACTCTCCCTTTCTAGCTGTCTCTCTAAACCCCATGGCTACAGAGCATCCTCAGTCCTGATTAGGTTGTTCTAGGGCTCTTCTGCTCTTTGGGATTTTTTGTGTGCATTTTTGCAAACCTTGAGGTCTCCCCAAACATGGTGATACCAACCTCCTCTCTCAGCTGAATCTGTTTTGGTTACAAACTTGGCAACACTTGCCAGTCGAGTTTGCTTTTAGAAGGACTGGATAGTTCTTCCCACAATCTAAAGCCCAGTGGGGTTAGATCCTGGGACTAATTGGGGTTTGTGAGAAGAGATCAGGAACGGTACGCAGGTACACAGTACACAGGTTTGCATTTGATCACAAATAGCAGATCCAGGCCTGCAAATGCACAACAGTGAATATTGATTCCTTTTAGGTTATGCACTTGGTTTGTGGTGGGCAGTTTGCCGGTGCGACCCAAAAACCTTTTAACTGGAAGCTGGACTCCATTGAAATCAGCAAATCACACTTCCAGGCTGCTTGCATTTTGGGATACAGCGTACTCCCAAGCAAGCTATTGTTTATGGGAAAGTGTCAGGATTCGGGGGCTTGGCTTCCTCCCCCCCTTGGCTGTAGATAAGCAGTACAAAGAGAAAGCAGTCTCTTACCAGTAACAGAAATGTTTAATGAATGCAGCAAAAGAACAAGCAACCATTCTCGGAGTGCAGATAAGGTTCCGTCCATTTCCCTCTAGTCACTTCCGTCCTCTCATCTCCTAACCTCCTGATCTCTCAGCCATTGAGCCTTTTGCACAGCCACCATATCTAATCTCCCAGCCTTGGGACTGAGAGGCTGCACATCTTACAGTGAGAGAGAGAGAGAGTCGGCTAGCTCACACTCTTCCTGTCCTTCTTCTTGCTGTTCACCTCCCAGCAGCGGCATAGTGTGGGTTATCAGCACCCGGGGCAAGGCAAGTAATTTGCGCCCCCTAACCCGTGGATTTGCGCCCCCTAACCTGTGGATTTGCGCCCCCTAACCCGTGGATTTGCCCTAACCCCAGATGGTGCGCCCGGTGCGGCCGGCCCCCCCTGCACCCCCCACGCTACGCCACTGCCTCCCAGTTCTGTCCGACGATTGTCTTCTGAACTGTGCCCCTCAGCAAACCATTGTTCCAAATCAACACTACTCCACTGCTCCTGTGGAGTTTCAGGATCCTGGCCATGAGCGGGGGGGGGGGGGCTCCACCATTCCTCATCAGAGTTGTACTCCTCAGCCTGGTTTCTGACAGAAAGCCACCTTAGCAGTGCAGGATCACCCAGAGCCCTAGCAATGGACAAATAAATAAATTTTGGTTTATAGAAATCTCACTGGAACCCGCTACTGTTGCTGGGCCTGTGTGGGTGCCGCCATATTACTCAGCTAAGGGAGGCTTCAGGGGTGGGGTGGGGGGGTGGCCTGCAACAGGTGGGGAGGCAGCTTTCTGTTTTGCCTCAGGCTGCTCCTGCTGTGTGCCTTCTAAACCCTCCACCCCACTGAAACGCAACGTCTGCAGACTGCTGCTGACGCTCACAATACTCTTAATCTCTAATATTTCAGGAGGAGGTGAAAAACGAGATCAACATCATGAACCAGCTAAACCATGTGAATTTGATCCAGCTCTATGATGCTTTTGAGTGCAAGAACAACCTCACCTTAATCATGGAATAGTGAGTCATAAAATATCTTTTGAGTGTCTTGTCTGAGCAACTGCAGGAGAAACGCTACAGAACTTGTCCGTTATAACATTGCATAAACCTGCCCTCCCCGCCGGGTGCCTTCCAGATGTTTTGGACTACAACTCCCATCATCCTTGATCACTGGCCAGACTGGCTGGGGCTGATGGCAGTTGTAGTTAAGGGCACAAGGCTGGCAAAGGTTTGAGCAAACAAAATAATACATAATATATAAAACAGCTTGGGTTGTCCTTTATTCCCAACTTTACCAATTGAAATTGAACCTTGCTGATCTATTGATAAATCAGCTAAACCTGTGATCCTGTGCACACTACAGGATGAGTTCTACTGAGTTCCACTCCTGTTCCCTCTCACAGAGCTACAATTCCCAGGGTGGTTTTATCACCAATCCCTCTTCCTAAGGGGCTCTGCGGACTGTAGCTTTCTGAGGTCTGCTAGCACCTCTCAGCACCCTTAACAAGCTACAGTTCCTGGGATTCTTGCGGGGGGGGGGGGGAACTGTCACTGTTTAAGTGGTATGGTACTGTTTTAAATAGGGATGGGGTGGTGCTGTGGTCTAAACCACTGAGCCTAGGGCTTACCGATCGGAAGGTTGGCAGTTTGAATCCCCGCGACGGGGTGAGCTCCCATTGCTCTGTCCCAGCTCCTGCCAACCTAGCAGTTCGAAAGCACACCAGTGCAAGTAAATAAATAGGTACTGCTGTGGCAGGAAGGTAAACAGCATTTCCATGCGTTCTAGTTTCCATCACTGTGTTCTGTTGCGCCAGAAGCAGTTTAGTCATGCTGGTCACATGACCCAGAAATGCATATTGTTGATGGGGCTATCAGTGGTTCTGCCTGTCATTGACCTGGGCTCCACCTCCTAGCTGCCCTGCTTTCTGCTCCAGTTGTTCCAGCAGGTACCGCCACTGCCTGATCCATCAGGTTCAAATTGCAAGACAAGGGATTTTCACTAAAGATTAGGAAGTATTTCTTGGTGGTGCAAGCTTTCTGTCAGTGGAATAGGCTGCTTTGGGAAATGGTGGACTTAGGCTGGATGGCTCAGTTGGTATAGTTGGCTAGATAACTTTTTATGTCCTTCCAACACTTATGAGCCTATGACTGATGTCTGCTGAAGTTGGGACCTAATGTATGTAAATCAATTGAGCTGAAAAGAGGATACCCATCTCACTTCCATGTTCTGCTCTGTCTCCCTATTAGTGTCGATGGTGGTGAACTGTTTGACCGGATCACAGATGAAAACTACAACCTCACTGAACTAGACGCTATCCTTTTCACCAAACAAATATGTGAGGGCATCTATTACCTGCACCAACAGTACATCCTTCATCTGGATCTGAAGGTGATGGAAATTTCTACTCCATGCCAATTTATAGCCAAAATAATTGCAGCTTATGCAATTGCAGCAAAGAAAATCTGAGCAAGAATTTTGAACCAAACCCCCGTAAGAACAACCCCAAGAAGTTCCAAGGCTGATTTTAAATTTGATTCAGTTTTAACCAGAGATTATAGGAGACTTCTGCTCCTATTTGTTTGTGCATTTTTATTTATTGCATTGACTTATGGCTATGAACAATCAATATTTATTGTATCGTTAAAATTCAGTAACACCTCCCATTCACAATCCAGTGAGAATGGTGGCACCATTTTTTTCCTGATCTTTTATACTTTACTTACTTTAAAAAAACAGGTTTTTTGTTTGTTTTAAAAACACAGCTTTATCATAATTTATGGTTATGTGTTGTTGATATCTGTGTTGCCAAAGTCAGCTGGTAAGCTTCATGGCTAAGTGAGGATTTCAACCCGGGTCTGTCTGGTCCTAGTCCAACAGGCTAATCACAACACTTCATTTGAAATATCAAAGTCAGGCATCCAAGGCTAAAACCCAGTGGGCAAAATTCATCATGTTTTGGCGCCTGAGCAAATAGCATTTGAGCTTGGGGCTTTCCCCTTGCCATGCTGAAACATAATTTTACACAGATGAGCTTTGTAATCACATACAAAGATTGCAGATGATGACTTCTCAGATTAATCTAAGCATGCTTTCTTCTTCCTCTGCAGCCTGAGAACATACTGTGTGTGAATCGCACAGGAAACCAGATTAAAATAATTGATTTTGGATTAGCAAGGAGGTAAGCCTCCCACCCCTCAACTTCTTTTGGCTGCTAATTTTTTTAAATCTAATACTTTATATCCATGTTTGGGAGTTCACACAATAATGTTCACGCTAATGCAACAGGTTTCCCCCTTACTTCTTCCCCTGAACCCACACCCCTTGGCTCTTGAGGGGATGTTGGAAAAACGCCTTGAACAGTGCACAGAGTGGGGCGGGGGGTGGTGGTGTTCTATTCAGCAAGCTGAAATGCTTGAGCTGATATCATAATAGCATGCTGCCGAATTCCTCTCCTTGCAATGGAAAGGCGAAGCCTGCGTGTTTTCAGTGGCATGATAGAGTGTTTAGCTATGCAGTATAGTACAGCCGGGAACCTCCAGCTCCCATCAGTCCCAGTCAATGCAGCCAATGGTCAAGGATGATGGGAGTTGTAGTCCAACAACCACTGGCAGGTTCATCATCTATGCATGGTCCATGCGCCTGCCTACTGGAGCATCACTTTATCGCTGACAAACTTGCACCTCTCTCTTTCTTTTTCCTCATTGCTCATCAAGGTACAAGCCCCGCGAGAAGCTGAAAGTTAATTTTGGCACGCCAGAGTTTTTGGCTCCCGAAGTGGTGAACTATGACTTTGTGTCGTTCCCGACAGACATGTGGAGCGTGGGCGTCATAGCATACATGCTGTGAGTAAACCCTCTAGAGAACATTTGCTCCGTAGAAAAGGCCACCGAGTGGCATTTTGTAAAGTCAGGATGCAGAAGACTCCTGTCGGGAGACTTTGTGGCCCACCAGGGAGCTGACCATTGCGTTATCCTCCAGCGTGGGGATGATGGATGTGGAAAAGAGGAGTGGTGTCACATAGCAAAAGAGGGAAAACCCCTTGTGACGCAGCTATATTTACACACTCAGACCGTAGCACCAAAGCAGCACTAGTTGGAGTGCATTGGCACATTTTATTTATTTATCTTATTATTATTTATTAAATTTATTGGCCCTCCAGATGTTGTTGCAGTCCAACTTCATCAGTCTCAGCCAGAATGGCCAGTATTCAGGCAAGCTGATGATGGGACTTGTAGTCCAGAAACAACTGGAGTGCTGCAGATTGCTCATCTCTATAGGCTGGATTGCCGGCCCCTTGCAGAATGTTCCAGACAGTTGGAGCAGCCCCCGAGAAGGCCCTGCACACTGTGCTGGTCTTCCACTGCAGCAGACTAGAAAGATTGCACAGCCTCTTGGGAAACTTTTCTCCCAGGTAGAGAGGCACCTGACATGCAAAGAGGCAGGAATGTCTGCATATGACACCTTGGTTTCCTGTTTCAGTGTGAGCGGCTTGTCGCCCTTCTTGGGAGAAACTGACACGGAGACCATGAATTACATTGTCAATTGCAGCTGGGATTTTGATGCGGAAGCGTTTGAACAAGTGTCGGAAGAAGCAAAAGACTTTGTTTCCAGGCTCCTGATAAAGGAGAAAAGGTATGGTGCCTCTCGTTTGAAAAAGCAATTTATTCCTAATAATTCTTGTTGCCACCCCTTGACTTGGATACAATCACCCAGCCTGCCAGATTCCCTTGAAAATTCTTAGCCCAGCTGAATCCACCTCTGTCCTTGTGCCCAATGAACCTGCTTCCCATCTGTTGCACACCAAAGCGATGGAGGGGAATGGGCTTCTATGTTCTGCATGTATACTGAGATATGGAACCTTTCTCAAACCAAAGGATGAATCCAGGACTGGTGCACTCTCTGTGGGTCGTTTCTGATGCATGGCAGGGCATGCATCAGATTCAGAATTCCTGCACAGGCTTGTCTCTTACCTACAGCATTAAGATCTGAGATGAGTCTGTGCCTGCTATGTCTTAAAAGAAGCTGAATCTTGTCTCCAGTGGTGCTAATACAGGTAATGAGATCCCTTATCTTCCAGTCTTAGCAGTTGATGCTCAGATTGCAGATAACAGATCTTGCGGATGTGATTGGCCCAGAGTTGGAAAGATGACAAAGTCCCTACCAGAGAATAATGGCAAACCAAGTTGATGGACTATGCCGAGATGGCAAAGCTGACTGGAAAACTCAGAAACCAAGAGGATAAAAACTTTATAAAAGAATGGGAAAAATTTGTAAGTTATCTAGGAGACCACTGTAAGCAGATGGAAACAAGAGCAGGATTCTGACACACTTGTAGTGTAAAAAACATTATGGATAATATGATTCAATATAACTGGAGTACAGACTAATATGCAGTTGTGGATATTTAAAATAAGACTGTATGGACGGGATGGGGGGAAGTCTTGAGATTTGGAGAATCTCCACATACAGTATGACTTTATTGATGTTTGTTTATTTGTATTTTTTATTTGTAAAACTAATAAAATTTCTTGAAAATAGATAACAGATCTCAGTGACTGACAGGTGGGTGTGATTTGCCTAAAACGACCTCGCAGGCCAAATTCAGAGGCCCGCAGGCTAGAACTTCCCCACCACTGACGTAGACCATCCCTGCAACCTGTTTGCTTTCATTTGGTTCCAAAATAATCAAACAAGACATTCAAGCCTAATGCTGAATGACTGTTGTTTCATTTCCAGAGAAGGTCAGATTCCACCTCATGTGTCCATTCACAAATTCTCTTCCACCCTCCCTCGTATCTTCACAGTGGCAGAACAAGTGCCGCAAATTGCCTTAAACACGAATGGCTGGCAGACCTGCCTGGCAAAGCCAAGAAGTCCAAGGTGCGCTTGAGGTCTCAGCTGCTACTACGGCGTTACATGGCTCAGAGGAAATGGAAAGTAAGCTCTGCATTGACTTCTGACACTTTTTCCAAGCACCATTCAAGGTTATTGTGACTGTCATCCATGATGCCCACTGGCTGCCCCTCTCAGCTTGCCAGGCCATGTTCAGGTTCTTCTTACTCAGAAATGAAAACCCTAAACAACTTGGGACCAGGGGTGCCTCCAGACGACCGTTCTGTTAGCAAGCATATTCTGTAATACGTCATTGAGGCTCGCCTGGCACCATGATTACATGTATTTAGGCAGCAGGCAAAAACTTCCCTTTTTAATCAGGCCTTTGGCTTTTATCTATGGCCTTTTTGAGTGGGTGGGATGTTTTCATGTAGGCTTCATGTTTTGTTTTTTGCTTAAAGTATTGTAAGTCGCTTGGAGTTGCCATAGCGAAAAAGGTGACAAATTTAATTACAGTGGTACCTCAGGTTACAAACACCGCTAATCCAGAAGTAGTACCTCGGGTTAAGAGCTTTACCTCAGGAAGAGAACAGAAATTGTGTGGTGGCGGCGCGCTGGCAGTGGGAGGCCCATTAGCTAAAGTGGTACCTCAGGTTAAGAACGGGTTCAGGTTAAGAACGGACCTCCGAAATGAATTAAGTTTGTAACCAGAGGTACCACTGTAATTAATAATAATTGATGCAACAATGGTGCATTTATGCAGTCAGTGTGCTTCTGAGTATCAGCTGCAGGAGATGGCTGTTGCCTTCCAGCTCACCATTTGTGGGCTTCCAAAATGCATCTGCTTGGCCACTGTGCTAAACACAACAGAGGATGGATCCAGCAGGAGTTTTCTTACATTCTTATGAGATTTCCCGACAGAACATCTGCTTTGCATGCAGGAGGTTCAATCCCCAGCATCTCCAGGTGGGCCTGGGAAGAGTACCCTACCTGGAATCTGCTGCCAGTCAGTGTAGACAACACTGAGCTAGATGCACCAAGAACCTGACTCGGTGTAAGGCAGGTATAGGCATACTCGACCCTCCAGGTGTTTTGGGACTACAACTCCCATCACCCCTAGCTAACAGGACCAGTGGCCAGAGCTAACAGGACCAGTGGTCAGGGATGATGAGAACTGTAGTCTCAAAACATCTGGAGGGCCGAGTTTGCCTATGCCTGGTATAAGGGAACTCCCTCTGTTCCCAATCCATTTGAATCTGACATCTCCTGTATTGCCATTGCTATTCCTCGGTATCTGAGCTGTCTTGGTTGCAGTGCTGGAGGAGTAACCACAAGAAAGGCAGTGACTGCAAAAAGGCATTTGCTCCACCAAGATATTAAGAATTTCATGTCCCGCCTCCCCAGGAGGGTTCAGGTATCGCTCTGCATTGTCTGCGTGACAGAGACCAGAGGCAGCTGCTGCTTTGTTCTTTGAGCCTGTCAACACCTTGACATGCCCCAAATGGTTGCAATTAACAGCAGGGTACCTCCAGGCATTGGGTATGCTGGCAACTGGGCAGAAAAAGGATACCCAGCAGGCTAGATGAGAAGGAAGCTGTCCAAAAGGACCCCATGAGCCGAAAGAGGGCATATGCATGTAAGACCCTCCCCGTCAAGAGGCAATACGCCTCTGAATCAGAGTTGCCGAGAATCGCAGGTGGGGAGAAGGCTCTTGTGCTTGCATCCTGGGCTAGATGGGCCATTGGCCTGATCCAGTAGTGTCGATACGATGAAGCAAGATTCAAACCATTTCCAGCTCCGTCTCCTTCCTGTGCGACACGACACCCAACCTTGTCACTCTTAACAACCTGGTGTTGTTTTTCTTTTGCAGAAGCATTTCTACGTGGTGGCCGCTGCCAACAGGCTGAGGAGGTTCCCGAGCATGACTGAGAATCCTGCATAACCTGTTGTAGAAGACCGAAAACGGAAGGACTCTGGTTTTTAGCCATTGGCCCACCCTCACCCGTTTTGGCAATTAGGATGCATTTCCTCCTCTCCCATTATCCCATAGCCACAAGCGTGCTGAAGTTTCTGCCTTTGAGCCCTAATAGGATAGAACGGGACTTGCTATATAAGGAGGAAATGGGTTCTGTTGTGGAGGGGGACGGCGACCATGAGTTGCCTCATAATACCTTCATTTCTCCAATTATATCTTAGTGCTTAGCAGTGACCCTATCTGAGTGGGACTGGTTTCCTTTGAGTAGTTTGAGAACTGTGAGGCGTATGCTACACACCGCGTCCTTGCTTACAGCTGATTTCAGCCTGTTTGCTTTCAACTTAGTACAGTGAGTGGGTGCGACGAAACAAATTGTGTATCTTCCCAAACATTTGTTTCCCATTGGACACTTTTGCTTCCTCTGCAGCTTCTTGACCCCATTTGCCTCCTTCCGCTTTGTCACCACTGCTGGTTGCAATAAATAATTATATTAATTCAGGATGGAGGGTAGAGATGCTTCAGGCTTGCGGGATTTACTTTCTATTTTACAATAATACTAAGGTCCCTCCACCTGAGCCAGGTGTAAAAACAGGACCTATGAGGGCAGCACCACTTTAAGCATCTCACAAGCCTCACAATGGGACAACTTACACAGACAAGTGTGAATGTTCATCAAAGTTCCTGCAGATCAAGAAGTTGATCTCCAAATTCTTAAATCAGCCAGCAGACACTCAAAAGGCAACCAAGTAACACTTCTCTTTCGGTGAGGATGCGATGAGCAATTGAAAAAACCAACCAGCTATCACAGCAAATTAATTCTTTTTCTTTACGTTTACTTAGTTGAAAATTCTTGCAGATAGACCCACTGCAAATCAGTAATTACAAATTACATCCTGATGACACACCTGTTTAAGCCCCAATTGCCTGTGGTGATCCACACAAATGTTTGCTGTGATCCATAACATCAGTTATTATCGACTTATTACAAGACACCTAAGGAGGGAGGTGCAGTCTCACTTTGTGGGGAAGGCAGGATATATTAGGGATCAACCTTTTGGGGCCTATTTGCAAACTGGAGAAACTGTCATTCAACATGCTAAACCACTACACTACCAACTGGCTATTCTCAGTAGGGCGGGTTTTTCTTTTTTTACACTTCCTTCAGCAGCCTCAGGCATGCATATTTTAAACTTCCACATAGGGGATTCATCAATGACGAGTTCTGCATGCATATAATTTGGAATGCGGTTGACTGGCAGTAAGATAGGGAAACAACACTAACTCTGATTTATATATTGATCTCTGTCATTTGTAAAACAAGACTAAAAAGGAGAAGAAGAAAAATATAGAAATAAAAGTATTTATTGATGTTCTGCAAGGGAGTAATGTCTTACACAAAGCCACAATAAAAACAAACCTGAGAGACAGAGTAAAAATGCGGAGTTAAAAATTGTGTTGTCTAAAAAGATTTTGGAAGTGGGAATGAGTTGGCAGCAGGCATATTCAGATACCAAATCTTTGCACCCTGATTTGAAGTGTCTTCCATGAAAGCAAGCTCCATTGCAAATAATGGTTTACACCTGAGCAAGCATGGTTATGGCTGAGATGCCTGGATTGCCAAATCCAGTATTTGCCATAACATGCAAGGTTCCCTCCACCTCCAAAAATCTGAGCTGCGGCACAGAAGTTCTTTCTCACTGCAAAAACACTTCCAAGCTTCCTTGAACAATATAACATGGAGTTCACAACAGGCCCTTAACAGCAAAATAAAGAGCCCACACATTTTGAGGGCCATTTCAGTAGTGTAGCCCTCCTGACTAAGGAGAACCAATCAGTAGGGCGGGCTTTCTGCACTCATCCCAGAAGCCTCCAGGGGAGGAAGCAGGAAGCAGAGGCCAATTCCCACAATCCATGTTTTGCGCTACGGCACCCAGCTGGGAAGTGTGTGCGCTCAAACCAGTGCCCAAGAAAAACCATCACGAAGGTTGCTGGCCTAAAAATACCATTGATTCTAAAAATCCCAGAAGAGCTGCCTGCTCAGGTCAAACACTGTCCCTTTGTGATTTAGCTGCGCTTTCCAAAATTCTCCTCTTCCATTCTTCATACTCTTCTTTTGCCTCCGTTTCAATTTTCGGACGCTTGCGAGGGGCCTCTGCTTCCATTTCATTTGCTGTCGTGGGGTGGAAAAGAGAGACAAGACTTTGGAGAAGATGCTCGTACAACAAGTAGTCTGGAAGAACCCAAATCAAGTATACTTCTAGCTGGTTAAGGACTTGCTCCACCCTCTCAGTCATCAAGTTCTCCCCCCCCCCCGCAAAGATATATTTACATATGAAAGTATTTATAGTCCCGCCTTCTTGCAAAGCATCGGGGCAGTGTGCAACCATATTAAAATAGTAATAAAAGAAATGCAAAACAATCATTAAAAGGTCTGGTTGCTCAAGGGACCTTTCAGACAGCTGCATAGGCCTGCTGGCATGAATAAAGGCCTTCAATAGATGCTGGAAAGTCTTAAGAGAGGGTGCTTGACAAATCTCCGCTGGAAGAGGGTTCCACAGCATGGAGGCCAGTCAATCTTATTTAACACGGAGGACAAGTATTAGCACCACTTCTGCTATATGTCTGCAAACCTTGGGGCTCCTTTGAGCTTGCAGACACCTCCCTCTTGTGGATAGATAGCAAATGCTTTAGCTAGATAAGCAATGGCACAACATTGGAAATAAAGGGAGCAATAGATGTGGAAGAGAGTTCTCTTGATTCGCCCCCAGTTCTAATGTTTGTGGAGAATCAAGATGACTAGTATGTCCTTGTCTTCCCTTTTTATTTTACTCTTATTTATATCCTGCCTGCTGTTTCAGAATTCAAAATGGAGCCCCATCCAGGCACTGCCCGGATCGTGACCAGTTTAGCTTTTGCCAGGTTCCCACATCTGGTTGCCTTAGATCAAACATGGACCGAATCTTCCAGGCCTGGAATGTGGCTTTGCACAATTGCTTGAGAAACACAATTACGTCTGACTTGAATGCAGAACACTTCCATCACTAGAGGAACCTGTTTCCTGCTGCAGACGTTAACTCAGAGGCAGGGGCTCAGCATGAACTGTGAGGGTGGGCAAAGGTCTTGCAGGAGATGGTTGGCTTAGAACAGCTGTGGGGATGGGGGAACCCCCAGACCTGAAACCTAATTAAATTCCCTATTTGGTCCATGGGCCTTTTTTTTTGGCCAAGCCACATCCACCTGTCCTGTACCTGGCATCAGGTGTGTGTGTAACAGGTAACAAAGTAGTTCCTGCGTGGTTTGCAGGCACTGCTGATCACAGATGCTTGCAAAGCACCATGCCAGCATGACAGGTGAATGACAAATGGGTGGCTAACCACACCTATCAAAGCTGTTCCACATGTGTGTCTGCGTGGAGCTAAGAATCCAGCCAGTGGTGCCTGTTCCTCACCTACAGCACATGGATGCACACACCAGCTCCTGTGGTCTTCACATAGACCAGAAGATGACAGGGTCTATCTATAAATATATAAAATATGGTATGTTGTGGAATGTCGCCAAAATCGGGGTATTACAATTTTATGCCTCTTGATACATTGCCAAGTTGAAGGTCTTGGTACTAACATAATAAGGCCCTTTACAACTTAGGACTAGGTTATCTTAACCCATAGTAGATTGCTACGGTCTGTGGGAGAGTTTATCCTGCAAGATCTCAGAACCCTGCTCAAACAGTAACTCGGAGCAGGGCTTTTAGTGTGGCTGCTCCTGTTGTCTGGAATAGCCTTTCCTGGGGAGATACACTCTGTACTTTCCAGAAACAACCGAAGACGTTTTAGTTCTGAAAAGCCTTCCCAGCTGGACAAAAAGGTCACTGCCGCAAGGTCTACTCTGTATGGTCTTAGTTTGGTTTTAAATGTATTGGCTGTTTTTGTGTTTTTAACTATCTTTACCGCACATTGGTTGTTTAGAAAGCGACTAATAAAAACAACAAAACATTGCTTTAAATATCACTATAAAAACAGCAAGATGACTTTTTGACTTTTACCAACCCTGGACGCCCCAAACTGGTTCATCTAACACAGCTGAGAACACTTTCCTATCACTGAAGCTGTTCTTAGAACCTGGCTCCCAAGTTTCCAACAAAGGACCCTGTTTTGCAGAAGCAGTAGGCGAGCAAGTCAAGTTTCACCTACCAGCGTTCTTGCCAAGGCCTTCCAGCAAGGTGTCCTGAGGTTTGGAGGCCTCCATGGCCAATGGAACACTTTCACCTTTGGAAGAAGAGAGAACAACCTCCTCAGTGTGGTTTATGTTAAATCTGGACTTCTAGACCAGGGGGGGAAGTCGTTACCATCATCCAGCCAATTTTCAGGGATGATGGGAGGTGGCATTCAGCAGCTTCACAGACTCCCCACCTCTTGTTTCAGATCATGGGTAAAAATTATCACCTGCACATGCTGGAGAGAGGACTGAGGCTACAAGGGATGAATAAGAAATACGTACAACCCATTTGCTGGCTTATCTTCTCTAGCTGGCCGTGGAGACGGTCAAATATGGTTTTCTTCACCCCAGACGCAGCTACCATTTTGTTCTTATCCACTTTAAGTTTCAAACACCTGCAAGAAGAGGCAGGCTGATTTTCAAAAGGATCATCCAACCAAATATTTCACCATACTCTTCGCTCCGATTGTAAACAGTCATTTGCCTGTAGCAAGTAAGAGTTGCCTGCAAGAAGCCGGACATATAGAAAATGCAGAGGTGGCCAAAAATGGTGCCCTAAAGATCCTGCTGAACTACAACTCCCATAAGCCCCAGCAAACATGACCCACGGCCAGGTACAGTGGGTGCTTTAGTTCATCTACATCTGGAGTTCCTTGAAGTGCAATTATGATGGAAAGGACAATCCTAGGGAGGGCAATCCTTGTGCAAAGGTAAAGGGTAAAGGGGCCCCTGACCATTAGGTCCAGTCGTGACCGACTCTGGGGTTGTGGCACTCATCACACTTTATTGGCCGAGGGAGCCGGCGTTTGTCCACAGACAGCTTCCGGGTCATGTGGCCAGCATGACTAAGCCGCTTCTGGTGAACCAGAGCAGCACACGGAAACACCGTTTACCTTCCTGCCGGAGCAGTACCTATTTATCTTCTTGCACTTTGACGTGCTTTCGAACTGCTAGGTTGGCAGGAGCAGGGACCGAGCAACAGGAGCTCAGCCCGTCATGGGGATTCGAACCGCCAACCTTTTGATCGGCAAGTTCTAGGCTCTGTGGTTTAACCCACAGTGCCACCCACATCCCTAATCCTTGTGTACTGTCTTCTAAATTGAACTGCACTCCCCTCTGTCCATGAGCTGTTGGGCAGGCTGGGGACAACATGATTGTGATGGGGAATGTGTGTGTGTGTGTGTGTGTGTGTGTGAGAGAGAGAGAGAGAGAGAGAGAGAGAGAGAGAGAAATCTTGTGTTGCGGGGGGTGGACTAGGTGACCGTTGGAGCCCTTCCAATTCTGCAATCTTAAGCTTCTATGAATGGGTCCATTTACTATCAGCTCAGGCCCCAGCCATGAGCATGTGGCCCTTGAGTGCCTACTCCCTGCTGCGTGTGGCCCTCTGGGGCAAAAAGGCTGCTAATTTCTGTCCTAAACAATCTCTGCATTTCCTCCTGGTGCAGAATCCTAGTTGCTAACCCCACCTGCCCATCACCTGAGCAGAATGAACACAAGGAGAACTTCTTAGTACCAACCCCACCCCAAATACAAAATGGAACCTGGCCAAACTTTACCTGCAAGCTGTAAACAATGCTGCAGTGGTGAATAAGGACTTGGACAAATCGAGATCCATCTTCTGAGCTTCTGGCAGGCTGGATTCATACCTGAAAGAGCAAAGCCACTTTCTGAAACCGCAGCCGTTTTGTCATGACACTAACAGAGGTTGCCCAGAAGGGAGTGAAGCTCTCAGAAAGCAAATTGATGCAGCCAAACAGCACCATCCATACAGAGTATCCTCACCAGCTAGAACTCTAAACAGGAATATAGGCAGCAATTGTTTTAGGCACATCTGATATGTGCGTGACGGCACACAAACACATTGTGCCAAACCCGGAAGTGACCCGGAAGTGTCACAAAAAGGATTTGCAGGCTTTTCAATGGTGTTTCAAATATATGTGATTTCACGTAAATGTGTGGTGCCTTGGAAAATAACCCCAGTGTAAACTGGGAGTTGCCTGTACTACAAACCAGAATGTTTTGTTGCTGACCCCGCTGACCTTTCCTAAAAACAAGGATAAAAGCTTGGGCTGCAGGGTCTCCTTAAAAATTCCCTACCTTTGCAGTATTTTTGAGGCCATATTCACTGCCTCCAGGCAGCAAAACTGAACAGCCAGATCTCGGATGCCAAGGCTGGAATGCACACCCAGGAGGCTCTCAAAGGACCTCAAGCAGCTCTGGTAAGTAGTCTTGTTCATGCCAGACAGTTTCACTAAATAAGCCTTGAGAGGGAAGAAAAGCACAGAAAACCATGAGAAAATTTCTCCTTGCAAGCAACAGCCTCTTACCTAGTCGCCTGGGGTAAATAAGGATCTCTTCTGTGTGACCAGCTTAACGGAAGGTGGTCTTGCATAGATATGTGTAGTGTGGCACACAAGAAACTAACTTCTGTTGAGTTTTCTGCTCTTGTTACAAGCCTGGGATCCTTCCCACAGCTGACTTGATCGCAAGTCTGACATTGGTGCATTAGACTTGCAATGTAGATGGGCAATTCTAATGTTAAGAGTGAGAATGCCGTGTGTACAGATTTCATCGTGCAGGTGGGTTCAACACAGAGCCACCCTGATGTGTCTCCCTGTGTCTTATAGCATCTAAGCATCTGGAAAGCCTTGAAGCTAGAACAACAAGGGGCTTAACTGTCCAAAGCAGTAAGAACATCCAGCTGGATGAGAGCAAAAAAGATCCATCTAGTCCAGCCCTGTTACTCAAAGCAGCCAACCAGATGCTCATGAGAAGCCCCCAAGTAAGATGTGAGGGCAGCAGCTCTCCCACACCCCCTCTATCAGCTTGCCCCCCAGCAACACGTATCATGGAGAAGGCTATGTCAATGGCTACTAGCCACGAAGGCTATGATCTGTCTCCACAGTCAGAGGCAGCAATGCTTCTGAATGCCAGTTTTGGAAACCACAGGAAGGGAGGGTGGTGTTTTGCTTGAGTTCTGCTTTCAGGTGTCCCACAGGCACCTGGTTGGCCACTATGAGAGAAGGATGCTGGACTAGGTGATCCGGCAGGCTATTCTTATGTTCTTAATTGACTATGTCAGCTAAGGCTGATGGGAGTTGAAGTACCAAGATCCATTCTATTCACTATCTCATCCAATAGCCATTGACGGATTTGTTTCCTACCAACTTGTCCGATATCCTGTTAAAACCCATCTAAACCTGCAGGCAAGCAGGGTGCCAGTGACTGGGATGCTCGAAGGCAAAGGCTGCTGCCCCCAGGCCCACCATGGTCGACACTGGCTTATCTTAATTCCCTTCCTCCTGAGAAAGATAATTCTTAGGGACTGGTGCTGTGAAGGGAAGAACAGAACCAGGAGGCTAGAAGCACAGTTCACTGCCATTTTTATGATCTCCAATGCACCTCATCTAAGCTGAGTATTGTGTACAATGACTGGCAGTGGTTCCCCAATGTTTCAGATAAGAGGCATTCTATTTGAAGATGCTGGGGCTTGAACCTGGGTCCTTCTGGATGCTCTAGCCACTGAACTACACAGCCCTTCCCTATATCTGTCCAATCCTGCATTTGAAGCAAAGGTTTCTAGTTGCCATGTGCAGTCAAAAGAGATGGCTTAAGAAAAAAGCACTTGGGAGGGGAGGTGGTTGTATAAGCATTTATTACTTTGTCCACGGGGTTCTTTGTGAAGGCAGCAGCCAAGTCCAGGCAGATCACGGCTTTGCTTGTGGCAGTCATCTGAGCCAGCAAGGTGGCACATTTCACTTGAGACAGGCGCAGATACTCTTCAGCTTTCCTGTGGTATAGCAAAGGGAAGAGACGGTTAATTCCATTTTCACAGCCGGGACAGCCAAACAGAACCTGCACATATCCTATATCTTTAAAGCACTTTCAAACCACGTGCTTTCCTGCAAAGGATCCAGGGCACTGTAGCTAACACCTCATGAAGCTGCAATTCCCAGTAGCCTTTAAGGAACTACAATACCCAGAATCCTTTGAGGGAAAGCAAGAACTTTGGATGTGCTTTAGAAGTACAGCGTGCACAAGCCTTCAGTCCGATCCAGCAACTGGGCCCTTCTAGCGTTTAGGGAAGCTTTTAGGTTATCATGAAAATAATATTTTTGTGTTGTGCCAATTTGAATGCAGCTGGTGTATACAGGTCTGAACATTTGGGAAAGGACTCAGAGGACTTAAGTAAAGTAAAGACAAAGAAATACATTCTATGAACCCCCAAGGTCATTAAAGGCAAGATAGTTTCTAACCCAAACTGCTTTTCGATGTTTTAATTGCAACTGTTTTCAGAAATGTTTTGATTGTTTTAGAATATTTTTGCTTTTCTCTTTGCTTTTAAATAATGGTGTGTCTGTTTGCCTCCCTTTGAAGGGTGGGATAGAAATAAGCCATCATTGTTAATTTATTGGTCGCTCCCTGCCACCTCCTCCTCGTAACTCAAAACGACAATACGTAAACGAACACATACGTTAGAACTGGCATAAAAGGGGAGGGGGGGACAAAGAAAAATCTAGAAGTTTTTTTTAAAGGCAGGATTAAAAAATCCCTCTAACTTCAAGGAGGCCACAGACAATAAAATACCAAAGGCCTTTAAATAAACAAATACAAAAATTCAATGAATGAATGCAATGAAATAAAATCCCTTTCCGCCAGTTCACCTGATAACTCCGGGCGCAGTGACGCCCAGCTTGGAAGCCAAACACTGGATCACTTCGCGCTCCATTCCCGGCCCGCTAAACTCAGCCTACGATCCTCCTTTTCTTTCCCGCGCGCGCATGGAACGACGCGACACCTTCAAAGCCTGCCGGGAACGTTGCGACACTCTTGCCGCGCCCCTTTCGAACGCTCGGCTGCCTCTCCGAACGTTCCCGCCCTGGCTCCACCCACTCCTCTGCTGTCACTCGCCGGAGGCTCTCCTCAACCCACTCCTTCCCTTCCTTCCTTCCTTCTCCGGAACGTGACGTAGCGCCGTTCCATCCTATTACAGCTCTCCAGGAGGAAGGGCTGGTGAAGAGACACCTAATCAGTCAGGAAGACTAGCCCGAGGAGCGTGGAGGCCCTATTGGCGTAGCGTAGCGTCCGTCGCCGCTGCTGAGAACCAATCACTGCAGCGGAAGGGAGTCTTCCCCCTTCGGCTTTCGGCCAATGGGGAGCGAGAGTAGAAGAAAAAGAGGCGGGGTCCCGAGCGGGTTTCCTTTGTCACATGACAGTGGTGGGAAGTGGGGGGGCGGCTGAGCAGGCGCCTAGCTAGGAGGGGGTTTGTTGCAAGCGCTGCGGGGGTTGCAGTGAGCGACGCGCCACTATGGTGAGTAAGAAAAAAAGAAGGGGGTGGTAAAGAGGGGGGTGGGTAGGGGTCGCCCTGGCAAGAGGGGCTGCTCAGGCCTCCTTCTCCTCTGCAGTCCTTTTTATGGGGCAAGGCTGTTGGCCTGGCTGCTGCTGGTTATCCCCCCCCCCCATTTAATTCTATTAAGCCTTATCAGTTAATTGGTTCTATTTATATAGCCGTCGATAAGTGTTCTTTGGGTGCATTGCAGTCAAAATGAAACTGCAGAGCTGGACTACTGCAATGTGCTTTCCGTGGGGCTGCATCTTGAAGACGGCTTGGGGAACTTCAGTTGCTGCCAAAGGAAGCTGTCAGGGCGCTAAAAGTGAACGGGACGGGAGGTTTGAACACGCGACATGACTTTTGTGTTTAGTTGTGCTGACTGCTGGTGTGTTTCTCAGTGCAACTCAAAAGGGCTGGTATTAAGCTTTAAGCCCCCCAAGCCAGCCTTTCCTCAACCTCTAGAACAGGTGTGGGCGACCTTTGACCCTCCAGATGTTGCTGAAGAACAACTTCTGTAGTCTCTGGCCATTGGGCATGCTTGCTAGGGCTTTGGGAGTTGTAGCGCAGGTTCCCCGCTGTTGCTCTAGAGATGTTTTGGGCTGTAATTCCCAGGTAGCGCGGCTGTGCTGACCTGGACTGATGGGAGGGCACATAATTGTTGGGGAAGGCCATCCTAAATTGGCTGGGAATGAATTACTTTAAGATTGCCTGCACTCCTGTGATACTACCTGTAATCCAAGACTTGGATATGTGCTTGTGTACCGACTGGAGAATTTGGTTAGGATCAGAAGACCTTGTTGGTGGTGGCCTCGCAGTTGTGGAAGTTTTCCAGTTAATATTTCTTTGGACCCCTTCACTTCAGGCATTAAGAATGTCTGCCAAACTTCTTACTAATGCCTTTCCTTAAGAGAATTCTGGTGATCTTATTAAGAATCTCTTACACATCTGTCTTCAGCCACTCAGTGCTTTGTACTGTAAAGTTCATTTTTCTCCATGGCTTTATAAGGGATTGGCTCTGAAAAGGGACGAACGTATAACTGTAACAAGCATATCAATATTAAAAATGCAACAATAATAACTGAACATTTTAATGCCACTCTTATTTCAGGTTCAGGACAGTGTACAATATAAAACATATATTTTTTGTAACCCCCCACGATACACACTTAAAAAAAAGTTGAGCACAACCCTAAGTATGTTTACTATTGAGCTCAATGGGGGTTTATTATCTTCAAGTTGAGCTCAATGGGGGTTTATTATCTTCAAGAAGTGTGCTTAGAATTGCACTCTACAACTAAAGTAATTTAAACTGCTAAATTAAAAGACCATTTGAATTAAGGAAGTCTCTAGTTCATGTGAAGCTGCAAAGGTCCTGCTTAGCTGGCAAATACTTTTTCCAGAAAGGGGAAGCATTAAACAGCCCCAGGTGTGGCTTCCTTCATGACTAATGCTGCCATCCTGTGGAAGCCTACTCAGAAGTAAGCCCCACACTATGTAGTAGTGTCCTAGTAAGTACAGAGCCTTGCAGTGTCTTAAAATACTGAGAGGTTAGGGTAGGGCTGATGGGAAATGGGGGTCTGGCAACATCTGGCGGTCCAAAGGTTCCCAGCTCTTACATTGGGTGCTTTGTGTACATGGAAACTTCTTCATATGCAGATACAGAAATTACAAAAGAGGGGAACAAATGTGAAATCTGGATATTTTTAAATTGTTAACCTTATCAGAGCAATGAAAAAGCTACCTCGATCAACAACCAGGTTTGATAATATGCTAATTGCAAAAAAACCCATAAGTCCTACATAGGTTTGTGCAAACAGGAACTCCTAGATTTGGGTAGCTTTCTTACGTACCATTCTTTTGTTGGAAAGGCGCCTTCTTTGAGCCCAACGAGACCTCTTCCTCTGCTGTTGGGATAGCCAACATGGAGTCTTCCAGAGATTATTGGACAACAACTCCCACCATCCCCACCTTTTGGAAGCACTGGCTGGGGCTGATGGGATTTGTAATCCAAAACATCTGATGAGTATCACTTTGAGGAAGACTGCATTATACTTAACAAGGCTATGCAGCTGCATGAAAAAGCTGGCATTGAGGTAGATGCTTGGAGGTCAGGAACGCTATTGAGTCTTGAGCTGAGGAACTTAAAAGCTCTGAGTGTGTTTGAAAATGGTAGGGATGAATAATCTTCAGATCAGAGCAGCGATAAATCATCTTCACCCAAGGAGCTTGTTGAAATAGCTGGACCAAGAGTGATGATTAATTTGTCATCTTATTCTATGTGGTTGTTTGCCTTGCTGGCTGTTATGACCATCATTGGAGATCTTCCTCTTGGTGCCTGCACCATCAGACGTGACATGGGTGGCATCCTAGTTTCTGGAACCCTCCCCATTTCTATTCATCCAGCGCCTATTGTAATTTATATAGTTAATTTATTGATCAGGATATATACTTGTCCCCACCACCAGAATTCCCAGGGGGGCTTCCAGAATATGAAAGTACAATAAAGCAAATCAGGTTAATGGTCTTTGGGTGTCGGCTAGAAACACTTTTGCTTATGAGGACATTCAGAGGCCTTGACATAGAGTAGCTAGACCATCCCAGCAGGTGCTGATGGGAGTTGGAGTCCAAAACATCTGGAGGGCACCAGTTTGGACTCCCAACCCCCATCCGCTCCAGCCAGCACGATTGTGCAGAAGGGTACCATTTTGGTGAAGGCTGGGTGAAGACAGTGTTCTTCAACCCTAAGTCCCCAGATGTTGCTGGACTACAACTCCCATTATCTCTGGTGATCAGGTAAGCCAGCTGAGGATGATGGGAGTTGTAGTCTAACAACCTCTTGGGACCCAAAGTTGAGGAATACAAGAATATTTAGATTGCAGCCCTGTACTCACTCACCTGAGAGTGAGTGAACTAAATGGGCTTTACATTTTAAGTAGACACAAGCTTGCAGTTTGGGTCTCCACTGTGTTTTATGTTTTATGTTGCATTGTTTGAAAACTCAGATTGTCAGGTTATCCTGAAAATGTGTCTTAAATGATACACTTTTAAAAATATAAACTAAGAGTGTTGGGCGTGTTTTCAAGAAATGAGGGAAATGATTCATGATTGTTAGCTGTCAGTATACATATGGCTATAGAATATATTTTTTAAGATTACTGAAAGATATGGGGGGAGAGAATATAACAGCATGGTCTTCTAAAAGCAAATGTACTTCACAGAGTACAATTATTCAAAATAATATACTTGGAACATACTATAATTGGCTATCTACACTAAAATAAATTCAGTTCCTCTGGAATTTTGGTAAATCGTTCAATGTGGTAACCAAGAAAAATAAAACCATTATAAAAGTCGGCTGTATTGGCATTTCATTAAATGGAAAGAAGGAAACTTTGCAAGACATGTGAAATCCTTTCTAGGCCGGGCTTTCTTGTGCTACCTTGGAAGAAAATCCCATGTGTTGACACTCTGCAGGACCTTATTTACTTACTGTGAGGTGCTTATATCTTGCCATTCAATCAAGGAATCCTCAAGGTGGCTTACAACAGATTGCACCAATACAGCGCAAACAAAGGCCGCACGTTCAGCCCCACAGCCTTCAGTTCTTTGGCCGGTGGGTGGGGTGAGAGTATGCTTCTCTATGGCCAGAATGGACTTTCTACTTTTACATCTGCAGTCCCAGGTCCTTGCTGATCCTAGGGTCTGGTTGTCCTTGCCTACTCTTGGGCAGCTAAGTGCAGCATTCTCCATTACTGATCACCGGTAGTGTTGGTCCCACAAGAAATCACCATTAGCTTATTCCCACAATGGATAATTAACTTAAGAAATTGGTTGCCGGGAGATGGGCTCCTGGGCCCCTAAACTCAGATTATTTTAAAAGAGAATTAGACGAATTTAGGGAGGAGAGGGTGATCAGCTGCTGTCTTAAAAGACCCCCCTGCCCCTTTCCATAAGGTTCTAGGTGGGGTTACAACAGTATGATATACAGTTATGAGAACAGATTGAACCGCTACAATTATGAAAGGAGAGTTGTTCCAAGTGGAATGGAACCGTATAAACGGCTTTTAGCCATGTGACCTACTTATTTAAGAAGTCCTGCCCTTCACTACAAGGTTGCAGGGTGGATCCCCAACCATACAGTAATGAAGCCCAATAAAGCAAATGAAAGCATGTACATCAGGCAGCAGAGGTATAGGGATCCTGCGTTGTTCGAAGATTGCACGCCGGTGGAAATGAATTCCTGGGGAGCAACAGCAGGAGAGAATGGTAGCTTTCTAGAAGCCTACAAGGAGGGCTTGAAGGGTTCTGATTGGTTTCTGGTTGGGGGAAGCGGGGTGATGGACTAGGTGGAATGTCACTCTGACCCAGCAGCTCCTGCTCCTATGTTCTTGCTAGGAAGTAATCACCTGTTTCCCTTACCCCTTTTCCCTAGCCGACTACACAGCAGTCTCCTCAGGATGAGCAAGAGAAGCTCCTGGATGAAGCCATTCAAGCTGTCAAGGTCCAATCCTTCCAAATGAAGCGGTGTTTGGTAAGAACTGTGGGGCTTGATTCCCTTAATAGTTTGGGCCCAGAGTTCTTCAACCTCAGGCCCCTCAGATGTTATTGGACGGCAGCTCCCATTATCCTCAGCCAGCTGTTGTTGATGATGGGTGTTGCAGCACAGCAACATCTGGCCCAGTGTCTGTTAAGGAGCGCCATCTCCCCTATGAAGCTACCACTTACTAAGGTCTGCCAAGGAGACCCATCCTGGATCCCTTCTCTTCAAGGCAATGCAGAACACCACAGGCTGCTGCTCTGGAGTTCTCTTCCCCAAAGGGTCTACAAGGCTGCCTCTCCAACCATTTTTAAGCATAAAATTACATTTTTTATTCTTCTCAAGTCATTGATTTCTGACGTTGTCTTTTCAGCTTCTGCTGTTTTATTTGTGTTTTGTGTTTTAATTTTATCTATTTTTGGATATAATCTTATTGCTGTAAAACTGCCTTTGAATGCCTATTCAAAATAGTGGCCTGGACATCATATCAAAAATATATTTCGGGTTGTTCTGGAAGGGTGAATTGGCAGGTCGCTCCTTGACCTCCAGAGCACTGGATATTCCTGAAAGTTACAAAAGGCAATCACTGCCAGGTGCATGTCTGTGTATGACTCTTGCATGGCTGGGCGGAGGAACTAATTGGGAAATGAGATGTGCGACCAATAATCTTACTTTTAAATGTTTTGTTTTTTTAAGGACAAGAACAAGCTAATGGATGCCCTGAAACATGCCTCTAACATGCTTGGTGAGCTGCGGACTTCAATGCTTTCCCCAAAGAGCTATTATGAGCTCTGTATCCTCTTGAGCCTTACCTTGCGGCTAGCTGAGTCTTGTTTGGGGTGATGGTGATAGGGAGGGAGGGAACCTGGAACAACACCTGCAGATGGAAGAACCATGGGAGTGATTTTCTTGCTCATCATATGATCCAACTCACTGCTCCCATGCAGGGAATCCAGAACTGTATTATTTATTACATTTCTCAAGGTTGGGTTAGCACAGTGGTTCCCAAACTTTTTCAGGCCACCGCCCCCTTGGTTCCACAAACTCATCCCCAGTGTCTCCATCCCTATTAAAAGCATTATTCAGAACAGCGGCCTGCACAACTCACTAGGGATAATAAGAACATAATAAAATTCCAAATAATAACATTTACGTGCACATTTATTCTAAATCCAGTTGAACCATTGAGTTGAATTAATTCAGCAAAATTGATGAAGTTGATACCAGCTAATAGTTATTTACATCTCCAGCACTCCCTGCCACTCCCTTGTCTCCTAGGTAATCATACCACATGCAAAAGTTGGTACAACTCACTTTGGGAACCATTGGATTTCAAAGTCTTTCCCTCTTCCTCTTGCCTAGCTATCTCTGCTTGAAGACTTGAGCTTTTTGCCCTCTGAAATGTCAGTGCCTTCCTTCCCGCAGTCCCCTTCATCTGCTTTATATTCTGAACTCTTCAAGGGCTACTGATTTTCCCTTGGTATTTCTGGGTAGTCACACACCCACACGGCACATCACCTGCTGCTCTAGTATGAATCCTTAACCGCAAGGAAAAGATATGGCAATCTCCGATGAGCTACACTACCTGGAGGTGTACCTGACGGATGAGTTTGCCAAGGGAAGGAAGGTGACGGATCTCTATGAACTGGTGCAGTATGCTGGAAACATCATCCCGCGGCTGTAAGTAAATAAGAATTGAGGGTGACGTCTTGTGTTCTGGGCCCAGTAATCTGCTTTCTGCAACTGCAGTAGCTTTTCCATATCACCTGAAATTTTCCTGTGGTAGAAGGGAGCATGGTTTGGTGGGCAGCAAGTAAGTGGCCTCACTTGGACAGATGTTTTGGACTACAACTCCCATCACCCATAACAACCACACGATGGGAGTTGTAGTCCAAAACATCCAGAGAGTACAGTGCATGAGCAGGTTGCTTTTGCTTCTGTGATTTCACTTAAGTATCCTTAATGGTTTCTCTTTCTCCTCCCTCCTTCCCTAGATATTTACTCATAACCGTTGGGGTTGTCTACGTGAAGTCCTTTCCTCAGTCCAGGAAGGATATCTTAAAAGACCTGGTGGAAATGTGCCGTGGTGTCCAGCATCCTCTGAGGGGCCTGTTTCTGCGCAACTATCTCCTTCAGTGCACGCGGAACATCTTGCCTGATGATGGGGAACAGACAGAGTAAGGAGCCTGGTGGGGCGGAAGTGGAGCTTTCGTAAGTGTGTTGCGTGTGTTTGGTAGGCAGACACTGGAGCAAAGCTGTCTGGACCCCAGGCATGGGCTAACGTCACCTGAGGGCAGCAGCAGCAGGTGCAATTAGTACCTGGAAGAGAGGTCACCTAACACCCCTGTGTGCACTGCCTTGGTTCCAAGATGGAAGACGCTGGAGTGTAAATGGAGAGTCCAATCAGGAGCTGCCAATTTCACCTCTGATAACAGCGATGGCTCCCAACTTGGGCAGCCTTCTAAGCATATCAGACAAATTCATGGGAGGATAAGGCTGTCAATGGCTGCTAGCTGCCATGGCTGTATTAAGAATATAAGAGGAGCCTGCTGGATCAGGCCAGCATCCTGTTCTCACAGTGGGCCAACCTGATGACCCTATGGAAAGCTGGCAAGCAGGACCAGAGCACAGACACAGTCTCCAGCAACTCTTGAGACCCAAGATGCTGATGCTTGGTCTGATCCAACAGGGTTTCCGTGCAGTTTGCCAAGCATTTGAGGTTCCTTTTCCTGTCTGGAGAGCGGCCCAGAAAGTCTTCCAGGATCTTCTTTCTCAGTTCAGCTCATCTGCTGGCAAATTCCCACGTGGGAGTGAACACCTCACCCATTCTAGTTCTGCTTAAAACATTTAACTTGAAGAGTTAGCGTTACAACTTATACAACTGCTGGTCTAAGGAAAACAAAGTAAAAAAAACTATGTACAGAGAATCTTTCCGTCCTGTCTGCTCTGGACAGAGTAACACACACCTCTTTCAGAGCCCGTCTAATAGAGAAGTCGGTTGCTGGGGAGAAAACTTGTTGCTAGGGGCAAAACTGTGCAAGGATCATTTCAAGCCTTATTTTTTAGACTACACTTACACAGAGCTCTTTTGATGTTCTTAAGGCGTGGTTGGGCAGGGGAAGGGAGGAAACCTGGCTCTCTGCTTTGGGACGTTTGCCAGCTATGCAAGTTGCTTCCCAGGAAGCTGAACATTGCAAGTTGGTTGCATTCTTTCGCTTTCGTTCCTTGTTTAAGAAACAAAATACCGTATTTTTCGCCCTATAGGACGCACCGTCCCATAAGGCGCACCTAGTTTTTTTGGGGGGAAATAAAGGGAAAAAAATTATTTCCCCCCCAGGCGCGGGGCGGGGGCGGGGGAAGCCCGAGCTTCCCCCGACCCCAGCCCCCAAACAGGCAGCTCTCTGCAAGCCGTGGGAGCCCAGCGCTGGCTCCCGCAGCTTGCGGAGAGGTCCGCGAAGCCTGGACGCGCTGATCTCAGCGCGCGCAGGCTTCGGCATGCCGGCAACTCTCCCAAGCAGCGGGAGCGCTCCCGCTGCTTGCGGGGAGGTCCGCGAAGCCTGGACGCGCTGATCCCAGTGCGCACAGGCTTCGGCATGCCGGCAACTCTCTGCAAGCAGCGGGAGCGCTCCCGCTGCTTGCGGAGAGGTCCGCGAAGCCTGGACGCGCTGATCTCAGCGCGCGCAGGCTTCGGCATGCCGGCAACTCTCCGCAAGCAGCGGGAGCGCTCCCGCTGCTTGCGGAGAGGTCCGCGAAGCCTGGACGCGCTGATCCCAGAGCGCGCAGGCTTCGGCATGCCGGCAACTCTCCGCAAGCGGCGGGAGCGCTCCCGCTGCTTGCGGAGAGGTCCGCGAAGCCTGGAGAGCGAGAGGGGTCGGTGCGCACCGGCCCCTCTCGCTCTCCAGACTTCAGTGAAAGCCTGCATTCGCCCCATAGGACGCACCCAGATTTCCCCTTCATTTTTGGAGGGGAAAAAGTGCATCCTATAGGGCGAAAAATACGGTAGCTTGGGCCTCCAAAGTTATGAGCTGATCTTCTATTTCAGCCCCAGGGGTAGAATGTGCCCCTCTAGCCTTCTCTCTCTGGCCTTGGGACTCTTACCGAGGGCACTGCCATCACTGGCCCTGCCTTTTCCCCTCCTGGAGTGTTTTCTGCAGGGTGGAATGTGTCCTTGAATTCTAAGAAGGACTCTTGTTTGTCTGGATGGAAGATAGAGAGGGTTGTGTATGTGTGTGGAAACTAGCCTCCTGTACAAAAGCTAAGTTTGTATAGATTTATTTGCCTACTTTTCCTTGAAAGGAAAGGACCCCCCCCCCTTCACCCCAATGCCTGATACATTGTCATGCACAAAACCTCCCTAGCTGAGCACTTCTATGGGAAGAGACACACTATGTACAGGAGCACAGCTTCATGTCCATGAAAAGGACACTCAAATCTTGTTTGGAAGAGATGCAAATTGTATGCAAACAGGCTTTTAAAATGGAGTGGTTCCCAGCGTGTGTTTAAATCCAGACAGGGGTTCTTCAAGCTGCATATATTTAGCCCAAAGAGGGCTCTTTTTATCGAGCATCTCTCTTCGTGGTTCAAAGAGGATGCTGCTTTGTTTTATTTTAAAAATGGATTTGACCCTCATCTTGAAAGCAAATCCTCTCTGTCCTCCTGTACATCTGTAAAAAGGAAGTGCTTTCTCTCTTGACTTTACAGTGAAGAAACGACCGGGGACATCAGCGATTCCATGGACTTTGTGCTGCTGAACTTTGCTGAGATGAACAAGCTCTGGGTGCGAATGCAGCACCAGGGACACAGTCGTGACCGAGAGAAGAGGGAGCGCGAGAGGCAGGAGCTGAGAATCCTGGTGGGAACCAACCTGGTTCGGCTGAGTCAGCTGGAAGGGGTCAATGTGGAGAGATATAAGCAGGTGAGATGGTTTCTTGGCTTGGCTCCAGTTCTGAGTGGGCCTTTTCAGGTGTGGCTCCCTGCTTGTGGAATGCTCTTCTATATTCAGGCACACCTGGTGCCATCACTGTGTCTATTTCTAGGCAAAATCATTCCTTTTCAACCAGGCTTTGGGCCCTTAATTTGGAGGGGTTTAAGTAAATTTGTGGTCACTCCCTTTCTTATCTTTTAACCATTGGGTTGTGTTAAACCTGCCTTTTTACGTATGTTATGGAGGTGTTTTTAGATTTTTCTTTTGGTTTTAATTTTTGTGTTATTTTGTAAATTGCTCTGGGTAATCTTTTATGAAAAAGTGTGATAATATGCTATTAATAAGAAGAAGAACAGCAACAAAAAATACAGGTGTGCCTCGCAAGACAAAATTAATTTGTTCCGCAAGTTTTTTCTTCTTGCGAGTTTTTTCGTCTTGCGAAGCACGGTTTCCCATAGGAATGCATTGAAAATCAATTAATGCATTCCTATGGAGACCGCTTGCCAGGCTGGCGGTGCGGAGAAGGGCTTTTCTCCCCACCGCAAGCCTTCAGGACAGGTACGGGAACAGAGGGGAAGGCGCGCAGCGCTTCTCTTCTGTTCCCGGGGCTTGCGGTGGGAGGAGGGTTTTTCCTCCCCACCGCCAACATTCAGAACAGCATTCTGAATGTTGGTGGTGGGAAGGAAAACCCTCCTCCCACCGCAAGTCTTCAGGACAGCCATCCGAAGGCTGGCGCGGGGAGAAGGTCTCTCCGCCCCACCACCAGCCTTCGGAGGAGGTCCGAGGACAGTGGGGAAGACGCGCTGCGCTTCCCCGCTGTCCCGGAGATTTCCCTATGGGCTTTCGTCTTGCGAAGGAAGCCCATAGGGAAATTCGTTTTGCGAAGCGCCTCCAAAACGGAAAACCCTTTCGTCTAGCGGGTTTTCCGTCTTGCGAGGCGTTCGTCTTGCGGGGCACCACTGTATATGAATTGGTTAGTTGTAGTTTTTTACAGCTGCAGAAAATAAAGTTATATTATTTTGTCCCCAGTAGTCATAGCTTTTAATTCAGCTTGTTAGTCACCTAACTGAGAGTTTTCTCTAGGCCAGTGGTTTTCAAGCAGTGTGCCGTGGCACCCTGGGGTGCCTTAAATGATGGTCAGGGGTGCCGCAATCAACACTGGCCTCTGTCCCTCTTTCCTTCCCTCCCTCCCTCTGACACCCTCTCATATTTCTGCCTTCCCAAGGCTTTCACAGCTATTTGTCGTAGCAGCCCTGGCTGCAGGTTCCCTAGGTGAATGGTGCCTCTGGGGCTGGCCAGGGGGTGCTTCCCAGGCCCCTGTGGGGCAGTGTGAGGAGTCACTTCTCTTTGGGGTGGGGGGAGGGCAGCTAAGAGACCAGGGGCAGCAACAGCAGCTGCTCAGAGGATTCCCAAGGAGAGGGGAGAGATGACTGAGGGAACACTCCACAAAGGAGGGTTTGAGAAAGGGCAAGGGGCTGCCAGCTCTACAGGCAAGGGGTGACATAACTGGGCTCCTGAGCCCTACAGGGATGCTGCAGAAAGAATATAGTTGGTCCAGGGAGCCGTGGACTCAGAAAGGTTGATAGCCTCTCCTCCAGGCGACTAAGAATACAACTTAAAAACCACACAAAATCAAACATCAACCACCAGCCATCAAATTTAACAAATCAGTAGCAAAACCACCAGCAGCCTCCACAGGAAACAAACAAACCAGCAACTCTGAGCAACGCTAACATAAAAATTTGACGCAGCTGGATCACATTCAGTCTAAGTGCCAGGGTGAAGATGAAAGTCCTAACCTGGTGTTGGAAAGCTTGGTGGTGACACCAGGCAGGCCTCATTCCAGAAAGCGTTCTGTGTTGGTGGTAGGGGAGTGGACAAGCGAAAAAGCAGCCTTCCAAGTCTTGGAGGGAAACACTAGATGAGGGTCTTGGAGGGTCTGGGTACGTGCATCCTGGGAGAAGTGTTTAAGTGGGGAATAGATTTTAGAGATGGGAGCAAGCGGGCAAGTTTGCAGAAGGCCCAAGGGAGGGAATTGACACAGAGTTCTTTTTTTTCTTCTGACCAGATTGTCTTGCCTGGCATATTGGAGCAAGTTGTCAACTGCAGGGATGCCTTAGCTCAGGAATACCTCATGGAGTGCATCATACAGGTGAGCCTGCAGAGGGAGATTACAGACGGCTTTGGTTAAGTGGCATGGCCAGTACATAACAGCATGCAGGGTGTTTCTTCCTTTGGACCCTTCTGGGCCGAGGAAACAGGAAGCAACTGAGCATAGTGGTGAGTCTATGGGAAGTATGGCAAGCGTAGAGAAACCATTGCCCTGCTCTGCTCAGCCAGCTGACTCTTCCTGCTCTGTCTAGGTCTTCCCGGATGAATTTCACCTCCAGACCTTGAACCCTTTTCTACGAGCCTGTGCAGAGTTGCACCAAAATGTGAATGTGAAGAATATCATCATTGCTTTAATTGACAGGTGCGTAAGGAAACATTTTAATGACACTGCAGGTGAGGAGGAAACCGATAGGCACTCTGAGAGAGCAGGTTATCTATCTTTTCCCGGTTATGATTTTCTTTTCATGGTTTCCAGGTCCTTTGCTCCATGCAGTCTTGTTATCTTAAGCAAAAAAAGCCCCCACTGGTGTGATTCCTTCCAGTGATTGGTGGAGCTCCTGTGATGTCATGGAATGCTCACAACCTTTCTTTGGAGGCTGGCAAGAGTTAACCCAGGGAAGTCTTATAGACAGTGTAGCTTTCTGTTGGGATTAAAGCACACAGTTGGGGGTTAAAAAAAGGAAAGCTGGTCTTGTTGGTAAGAAGTAAAGTTGGACTGGGAGTTTGACTAGAAAGCGGAAGCAGGAGTAGAGTAAGCAGAGAACTGAGAAGAAGGAGCCAGAGTGAAGGCTGGGCAAAAAAGCTGCAGTAAAAGTTTCGTTAAAGGAGGAATGCATGTTGCTGCTAAGCTATATGCCGCTTAACTCCTAAAGGGAGTTCTGAGTGGCTTATAAGTATAAAACCAAAGCATGAAGATGCATATTTAAAATACACAATATAACGATTCCATCAGAATAAACACCCACAATTAAAATGTGCAATGAAGCAAGCCAATTAAAACAGCACGGCAATTAAAACTGATTAAATAGCCATTATAAAACAGGAGGTTAGGTCAGGTGGAACGCTTGTCTGAAGAAGGCGTGCTTTTCAAGAGCCCACTCTGCAAAATCATAATTGAGGAAATGAGGCTTTATCTGATTTTTGTTTTTTGGAGGGGGCAGAAGAGATCTAGCATTGGCAAACCAGAATAGGGATTCTCAGGCTCACATGTGGCCCTCTGGATCTCTCTCTCTGGCCCTTGGGAGCCTTCCCAGGCCACAGCCCTCACTGCCCTTACTTCACATCTTCCATGCGTGTTTTTGCCTGCCTGAAATGTTCGCTTGAAGTCTAGTAATGCTTCTCGCTTGCCTGTGTGGAGGGCGTGTGCAGAAACCAGCCTACTGTGCAAAGGTAAAATTTATATCCCTTGCTCTGCCCACGTTTGCATGTGGCCCCAAAAAGGTTACCCAGAAGATAATGCAGCCCCCGGACTGGAAAAGGTTATCCACCCCTGCTTTAAACAGTAGCAGTTGCATGCTGTTGGCAGGGAGGAAGATAGGGAGGTGGGAAGGATGTCTGAAAGCCAGCAAAGGCTCTTGTCCATGCCGACAGCTTGCCAACAGGATGGGGGCATGTGCTGTTGTCAGAAAAGGGTATTGCTGGGTTTGGGTGCTTGGAGGGCAGAAGAAATAAGATGCATAGAGGCAACAGGAAGGTTGAATTTCACATGGATTGTTAAGCTAGCCAGCCATGCCTGTTTTGCAGGTTTTGGCATGGTGGTTTGGGAGATGTCGAAGCAGAGTTTTGCCATTCCCTCTTGCCTTCCATTCCCTTTCTGCAGATGGATAGCTGTGGTTGGAGGCAACAGTGCTTCTGAATGCCAGTTCAGGAGGGGAGACGGCTCTTGTGTTCTGGTCCAGCTTGCTGGATTCCCATTGCGGGCATCCGGTAGGCCGCTGGACTAGATGAAGCCATGGGCCCGATCCATCAGACACCTCTTTTTAAGTTGTTGGTTGCATCCAGCTAAGCTTTACTCAGAGTAGACCTACTGAAATGAATAGACCCCAATTAAGTCGTGCTCATACGCTTCTACTCCAAGTAGGTCTGTCTAGCATTGGATACAAGCTCGGGTGGCAGCGTTATCAGCATCTTTCCGAGAAATGTGTGTGGTTGCATCGGTGTCTGTGTTTATAAAGCTGATTGCCTTTTCAGTATTGGCAAAAGTTTGCTTTTGCATGGCAGACAGGGATAAGCTGTGCATTTGTGTGGGAGCAATGGGTGATTCAGCCGCTTGGAGTGAGCTGAGCGCCTGTATGTTTGGAGGTGGCTTTGCTTTGACGACCTCTCTGACTCACGCAGGTTTGCATTGCTTCGGGAAAAGCCTTTGTACAACGTGAAGCAGGCAACCTTTGGGTGACTTTTTGTACTCTCTCGCTTGAGTGTTTTTCCCGGTTATTTCTCTGGAACATCCAGTCCCCTCTGCAGCTTGAAATGGCGAGAGGTGCGGGTGCAAACCATCCATTTATTTCTCTAATTCCAGTGTTAAAAGCCCAGCGCTTGACAGATTCCCCACCCCCACCCCCAGTTCATCCTTTGGGCATCTAGTGTCGCTAATGCAGGGAGAGAATGACTTGCTCAGCTTGTTGGCTTTAATCTCCTGTGGATAAGTTTGCACAGATCTGGTTTTTGAAGGCCTGTGACCTGACCACCTTTGGAAGCCAGTGGCGGCACCAGGGGGGAAACAAAAATCTGGGGTGGCACAGGAGGGGCAAAGTATATTTCTAGGTGGGCAAGAAATTAAAATAACAGTGTATGCTAATGACAGGTGTTCAGAAATGGGGGGGCAAGTGATGGGATGAGCTCCTTGTTGGCAGGGGGCATTTCACTGTACCCTTTTTGGCGCCTGATAAAACAGGTGGCACTGTGGTCTAAGCCACTGAGCCTCTTGGGCTTGCCGATCTGAAGGTTGGTGGTTCGAATCGCCATGACGGAGTGAGCTCCCATTGCTCTGTCTCAGCTCCTGCCAGCCAAGCAGTTTGAAAGCACACCAGTGCAAGTAGATAAATAGGTACTGCTGTGGCAGGAAGGTAAACAGCATTTCCATGCGTTCTAGTTTCCGTTACTGTGTTCTGTTGCACCAGAAGCGGTTTAGCCATGCTGGCCACATGACCTGGAAAGCTGTCTGTGGACAAACACCAGCTCCCTTGGCCTGAAGCAAGATGAGCGCTGCAATCCCATAGTCGCCTTTGACTGGACTTAACCGTCCAGGGGTCCTTTACCTTTTACCTTAAAACAGGCTTGTTTAGACACAGATGTTTGGAAAGTTGATGCGAGTTTTAATCTATAGTTGTTTTACCTTTTTGAATGTCTTAAATTAATTGGTGTACATGTTTCTTACTGATTTTATTATTTTATCATTTTTGTAAACCTCTTTGAGGTTTTTTCTTTCTCTCAGTCAAGTGGTGTATAAATGTGAAATGACAGATAAATAAATAAATAGAAAAATAAATAATAACCTAGGGTAAAAATTAGATGGGCATCGTCAACTTAAAAGACGCAATCCTGCCTCAAAAGCTAAAGAGCAAAATCTTTACGAAGTGTCTGGGATCAGTTTCTGGCAGGTTTCGTCACTGCAGCAGAATATTTGGCTGTACTCAGAGGTACAAATGCATGTTGATCCGAGCAGAAGGACATAAAATGATTGCCCTGGCAGATTTGGTAAAATGGGTTCAATAAAGGTTTTATGCAAGCCGCGGTAGAAGGAGCAGCACAGGAAGATTTGCATCTCTGACTCAACCTCTCCAAAGCTTCAGGAGCACTTACATTTTTGGACTCCAACTCCCATCAGCCTCGGCCATCCTGGACAATGGGTCAGGAATGATGGGAACTGTAGTCCAAGAATCTGATGTAATGCTTCCTAATGTAATGCCCACAGGGGCTAGGAGACGTAAGGCGGCTGCTCACCATACATTTAAAGTGCATTCAACACACACTGGAAACAATGATTTCCCGCTCCAAAGAATTCTGGGAAGTGTAGTTCCCCCTCATAGACTTACAATCCCCAGTACACTTAACAAACTACAGCTCCCAGGATTCTTCGGTGGAAGCAAGTGCTCTTAAATGGGCGTTGGATATTTTTTAAATGTAGGATGTCTGTATGCTCTAGGAGCCTAGATTTTACTTTGAGAGTAAGTAGATACTAACGCCACAACCCTCAAGCACCCTGACTTGGGAAAGAGCTTTGCTTATGAGTAGGATTGGCCTGCAAATCACATTTCCCCAAACTTCCTTTCCACTGCTTTAGGCTTGCGCTCTTTGCACATCGAGAGGATGGGCCAGGGATCCCTGCTGACATTAAGCTCTTCGACATTTTCTCCCAGCAGGTGGCTACTGTCATACAGGTAAGTGGAGAGTGCGGCCACTTCCCTCAGCAGTTTTTTAAAAAATCGGACTTACTCTGGGTAGTCCTCAAGTGCAGCTGCTGAGTCTGACGATTGGCTAGTCCAAGTCAAAAGTGGCTCCTGGGCTGGGTCTCCTCCCGGTCCTCGCAGTGGGCTTCAGAGACCCTTCAAAGTGGCACCTACCGGCCCCACCTCTGGTGTCATGCATGACATCAGGTGTAGGGCTGGTGGGTGTGGCTTACCTGAAACAACTTCACAGGCCAAATGGGGAGGTGTGGTGGGCCAAATACGGCCCGCAGTCCAGAGGTTTCCTGCTCCTGGTGAAGTGTGTCGAGGGCGTCTGAAGGCAGCCCTGTTTAGGGAAGTTTTTAATGACTGATGTTTTAATGTATTTTTAATCTTTTGTTGGAAGCTTCTCGGAGTGGCTGGGGAAACCCAGCCAGATGGGCAGGGTATAAGTAATAATTTATTACTGTATTATTATATTATTATTCTCAGCTCCATCCCAGCTTCCTTCTGAAAGATTCTTCTAAGCCTGTGTTTCCCAAACTCCAGCTGTTTTTTGAACTACAGTTCCCATCATCCCTGACTACTGGTCCTGCTAGCTAGGGATGGTCGGAGTTGTAGTCCAGAAACAGACCCAAGTTTGGGAAACACTGTTCTGAGGGGAGGGTTCAGTGTTTCCCAACCTTGTGCCTCCAGCTGTTTTTGGCCTACAATTCCCATCATCCCTTGCCACTGGTCTTGCTAGTCAGGGATGATGGGAGTTGTAGGCCAAAAACATCTGGAGGCACAAGGTTGGGAAACACTGGACTAGATGACCCTTTGGTGCACTTCCAATTCCACAGTCCTGTGATTCTATGAAAAGCCTCCCTGCAATTAGGGTCCCTGACTGCTTAATGCAGAAAGGTTGGGACGGAGAAGCTGGTGTTGGGACTCACTTTATGACCCCTAACCCATTTTGCAGTGGGGACACGGGTGGCGCTGTGGGTTAAACCACAGAGCCTAGGACTTCCTGATCAGAAGGTCAGCGGTTCGAATCCCCGTGATGGGGTGAGCTCCCGTTGCTCAGTCCCAGCTCCTGCCAACCTAGCAGTTCGAAAGCACGTCAAAGTGCAAGTAGATAAATAGGTACCGCTCCGGCGGGAAGGTAAACGGTGTTTCCGTGCTCTGCTCTGGTTCGCCAGAAGCGGCTTAGTCATGCTGGCCACATGACCCAGAAGCTGTATGCCGGCTCCCTTGGCCAACCAAGCGAGATGAGCGCCGCAACCCCAGAGTCGGCCACAACTGGACCTAATGGTCAGGGGTCCCTTTACCTTTAACCCATTTTGCACCCTTATACATCTGTCTGAGTGCCTCAGCAGTGCTTGTGTGTGTTAAGAAGGCATTTGGGAATCCAAAAGAGTCTCCGTACGAGTGCCTCTTCCAGTCCCGGTGCGTGTAGGCCCTTGATGTAGACATCTTGCAGAAGTTGCACAAGCCTGGGCCTGAGCAGCGTCTGAAGGAGAGAGCACCTGCCCCGTCCCCCCCTCAATGCTGCCCTGTGTCTGTGCGTGAATTATAAATGTAATAAATGCAAGTGCCCTTTCTGCAGCCGCCTGACATGCAGATCTCCTCTTTATTTTCCCCGCGGTGTCCGCAACTCCAGTCTAGACAAGATATGCCTTCGGAGGACGTGGTGTCGCTTCAGGTCTCTCTCATTAACCTGGCGATGAAGTGCTACCCGGATCGTGTTGACTATGTCGACAAAGTGCTGGAGACAACGGTGGAAATCTTTAACAAGCTGAACCTGGAGCAGTGAGTGGAGGCTGTCTGGCTCGCGGCAGAGCAGGCCGCGCTCCCTGCTAATTGGGGGTGGTGGGCGGAAGGGGACCGAAACCAATTAAGTCTGCCTGGCTAAATTGGCCTGGCTCTTTTTCTTCCAAGTGCAGCAGATGGTTCTGTCCTAACAATGAATTGTTGCTGAATGGCTGAACCTTGACAACAGGAGGTCTAAATGTTTGCATTGGGCAAATATCACTTTGCTTCTAGATCTGTTTCTGCTGTTTTCCCCCCTCTATTCTCCTGAGATCTCAGCTTCCAAAAGCAGGGCCAGGAGGGAGAATCCATTTGTTGTTTTTTTCCGGAAGCCAGAGGGCCCTTGAGTGGCTCCTGCGGCAAAAGAAATGAAGTAGAAGTAAAAAAAAGAAAAGAATATTGAGCCTAGGGAAACTGGTTTATGAAACCAAACTTGTCTGGAAACCAAGCCCTCATGGGGTCACATTTAAAGGAGCTGGGGATATTTAGCCTGGAGAAAAGGAGTCTGAGAGGTGGTAGTGTAGCAATCTTTAAATATACAAAGGGTTCTCTCAGGGAAGATGGAGCAAGCTTGTTTTCTGCTGCTCCGGAGCGTCGAACCCGAACCAGTGAGAAGAACAGAGATTCCAACTAAACATTAAGAAGGACTTTGAGGGTAAATGCTGTTTGACAGTGGAACAGACTAGCTTGGAAGGTGGTGGACTCTCCTTCCTTGGCAGTTTTAAGGCAGGCGTTGGACAGCCATCTGCCAGGGAAACTTCAGTTGCCATTCCTGCATTCAGTTGCCATTCCTGCCATTCCAACTTTACAATTCTGTGAAAGTACCAGAGAGCTCACAGCCCTTCCATACTCATGTTTTTCCTCCTGGTTTACTCCTAGGCATCCTTTATTTCAGTAATATAATTTGGAGGCGTGGAGTCACTTTGTTCCTGTTATGAAAACAACTCCCTGGGAGTCAAGAAATCCTTTGCTGCTCTGCTGAAAATCACCCAGAAATCTACCAACAGATCCCGATCCCTCCTCTGCTTCACCTGTGTCCTAAACTATAGGAAACTTGATACATGCCAGTCCATTGTTGACTGCTTAATTCTTAATTCATTTCTTTTTTTAGCATCGCCACAAGCAGCGCTGTATCCAAGGAGCTGACGAGGCTCTTGAAGATCCCGGTCGACACCTACAACAATGTCCTGACTGTCTTGAAACTGAAACATTTCCACCCGCTCTTTGAGTACTTCGATTACGAGTCCAGGAAGAGCATGAGTTGCTACGTGCTCAGCAACGTGCTGGATTACAACACGGAAATCGTCTCCCAAGACCAGGTAGGGAAAGAGCATAATGGAGTTGGCAGCATCCGCACTTCAGAACTGCACCCTCCCTATTGACGTGAATACCTTAGTTGTATTTCTTTCGGTGCCTGCCTAAAACCTTTTGGTTCGTGGCTGTTTGATCCAGGCCAGTATGCGTTGCATACTGAGCTGCAGGGAGCATGAGCTGGGCCTCACTGCCCTTATCCTCCGCCTCCTGCAGGTAGATGCCATCATGAACCTCGTGTCGACGCTGATCCAGGACCAGCCAGACCAGCCGGCTGAGGATCCAGACCCCGAGGATTTTGCAGACGAACAGGGCCTCGTGGGCAGGTTTATTCACCTCCTCCGTTCCGACGATCCTGATCAGCAGTACCTGGTATGGCTTCTTTAAAGCGTTGGAGTGGGGCTGCTTCAAAGAGATGCTGTTCAGCGGTGGGGGACCTTGGGCCCAGGGGCTGAATGCAGCCCCCACCCACTCTTTCTGACCCTTGGGGCTCTCCCCAGGCCACACACACCCTCCTTGACCACACTCCCTAGTGGCCCTTGCTTTACACTCCTGAGCGCAAAAGCAACTGTATCCTAACTTGTGATTCCCAGCAACTGTCATTCAGAAGGCTTGCTGCTTCTAACTGTGGAGGCAGAGCATAGTCATCAGCCCTCGATAGCCCCCTCCTCCATGGATTGGTCAAATCTTTGTTTGAAGAGAGCCAGCGTGGTGTAGTGGTTAAGAGCAGTGGACACGTAATCTGGGGAACCGGGTTTGCGTCCCTGCTCCTCCACATGCAGCTGCTGGGTGACTTTGGGCTAGTCACACTTCTCTGAAGCCTCTCAGCCTCACTCACCTCACACAGTGTTTGTTGTGGGGGAGGAAGGGAAAGGAGATTGTTAGCCGCTTTGAGACTCCTTAAGGCAGCCTTTCTCTATCTGTAGGTCCCCAGATGTTGAACTACAACTCCCATCACCCCTAGCTAGCAAGGCCAGAGCTCAGGGATGATGTTGAGTTGTAGTCCAACAACATCTGGGGACCCACAGGTTGAGAACCACTGCTTTAAGGGGTGTGAAAGGCGGGATATCAAGTCCAAACTCTCCTCCTCCTCCTCCTTTTTCCATCCAAGTTGGTGGCCATCCCTAGCTCCTGTGGGAGGGAGTCCCACAGTTTTAACTCTGCGATGTGTGAAGGAAGTAAACCTGATACTTCTTTTAAACTGGAAGGGTTGAGGACTGAACCTGTATGCAAAGAATCTGCTTTGCTGTGGTTCCTCCGTAGCCATCGTTCTCTTGTGCGTGCACATTGGCAAATAAGATCGCCTGCTGACTTGTAGAATCATGGAATTGTAGAGGTGGGAGGTAACCCCCTCCCCCCCGGTCTTCTAGTCCAACCTCCTGCGATGCAGGGATCTTTCAAAGCCAGGTTGATGCCTGTTATTTAGTTCATAAAGCAGGGGGTTTGTTTTTTCGGAAGGGGTGGGGGGTGGCGCCTCCCATCTTGCCTCCCGTCAGTTATGGGCGTATCATTGTGTGATACATATGTTCTCTTGATTTAGATTTTAAACACGGCCCGGAAACACTTTGGCGCGGGAGGAAACCAGCGCATCCGTTTCACGTTGCCCCCCTTGGTCTTCGCTGCCTACCAGCTCGCTTTCCGCTATAAGGAGAATTCTAAAGTGGTGAGTGAACCGAGCCCAAGATGCAAATCCCGACAGTTTTTTCCTCTCTTAAGAACATAAGAAGAGCCTGCTGGACCAGCCCAGTGGCCCATCTAGTCCAGCAATCCTGTTCTCACGGTGGCCAAGCAGGGAGAGGCTTCTTCTGGGAAGCCTGCAAGCAGGATTCAAGTACTAGAGCACTCTCTTCTCCTGTGACTTCCAGCAACTAGTATTCAGAAGCATTGCTGCCTCCGAATGCGGAGGCAGAGCATAGCCATCATGGGTAGCAGCCGTCAGTGGCCTTTATCCTCCATTAGATGGGGTTTGGGTAGAAACAGTTGAGTAAGAGGACAGTAAAATGGCAAGCTGCAAGAGATGAAGTGCTTAAAGAGAGAGGGAGAGAGACATATTCAGTGATCAAGGGTTAAATATCTTAAAACTTTCAGGAACCGCCCCCTCCCCATGGGGAATAGAGCAAGAACAAAAAGCAGCTTCCTTGAGCCTGTCTATATGGAACTGTAACCCTTGTCATCTCGGGTTCCATTCTGGTGGTATATAAATATTCACAGATTTGGGGTTTCTGTACAGTGGTACCTCGGGGTACAGACGCTTCAGGTTACCGACTCCGCTAACTCAGAAAGAGTACCTCGGGTTAAGAACTTTCTTTCAGGATGAGAACAGAAATCGCGCGGCTGCAGCAGGAGGCCCCATTAGCTAAAGTGGTACTTCAGGTTAAGAACAGTTTCAGGTTAAGAACGGACCTCCAGAACAAATTAAGTTCTTAACCCGAGGTACCACTGTAATATGTTCAGGTTGCGGAATTCCAGTTCTTGTTGCAGATAAATGTGGAAATGTTAAGTGGAGCCCTCTGCTTGGCCCTGTCTACCAAGTTTGCTTCTTTTTTCTGTCGTACTTTTGTGACACAGTATTTTCCTTTGATGTCTTGGGGTTGTTCCCCCGCCCCCGCCCCCCCGCTTTTAGGATGACAAATGGGAAAAGAAATGCCAGAAGATCTTCTCGTTTGCGCACCAGACGATCAGCGCTTTGATCAAGGCCGAGCTGGCAGAGCTCCCTCTGCGGCTGTTCCTCCAGGGGGCGCTGGCGGCAGGAGAAATCGGGTTTGAGAACCATGAAACGGTGGCTTACGAATTCATGTCCCAGGTGGGCTCGGCAAAGGTTTTTCTTCCCACTCCTTCCAAAAACATAAGTTTGATGTGTAGACTGGTCTGATAACAGAGTTGCACATGCTTATTCTATGGGGTTGAACCCTGTGCTGGCTCAAGAGCCTTAACTGAATAAGAACCTAGTTAGTGTTCTACTGGAGAGCATCCTGTTCTCACCAGTAGCTATCAGTAGCCCTTCATGAATTTTCTTATCTTTTAAAGCCATCCAAGTTGGTGGCCCTCACTGCCTCCTATGGGAAGGTGTTCCGTAGATTAAATATGCACTGCATAAAGTACTTCCTTTTATGTGTCCTGAATCTTCTAGCACCCAGTTTCATTGGACGTCCATGAGTTCTAGTGTTACATAAGTATAGTAATAATAATTTATTATTTATACCCCACCCATCTGGCTGGGTGGCTCCCAACAGAATATTAAAATACAGTAATGCACCAAACATTAAAAACTCCAGATGTCTTCTAAAAGTCAGATAGTTTTTTATTTCCTTTGACATCTGACGCCACTACCGAGAAGGCTCTCTGCCTGGTTCCCTGTAACCTCACTTCTCGCAGTGAGGGAACCACCAGAAGGCCTCAGCGCAGGACCTCAGTGTCTGGGCAGAACGATGGGGGTGGAGATGCTCCTTCAGGTATACTGGGCCGAGGCTGTTTAGGGCTTTAAAGGTCAGCACCAACACTTTGAATCATGCTCAGAAATGTACTGGGAGCCAATGTAGGTCTTTCAGGACCGGTGTTATATAGTCACCAGTCCAGCTGGAAAGAGGGATAATTTTTTTTATCTATCCACTTTCTCCATGGCATGCATAATTTTATAAACTTATATAAGCGGCCTCAGTCCAGTATATCTGAAGGAGCATCTCCACCCCCATTGTTAATATCCAGAGATTTCAGGGACTGAAGCAGAGACTTCGCACATGGGAATCAGGTGCTCAACCCATTCCCCGCTCTCCCTGAAGAGTGCAAAAGACCCTGTATAGCCACCCTCTCCTGGCAAGGAGATCCAGCTGAAATTGATCCTACGAAGCAGAGCAAGATGTGCTACTAGACCATAGTTGTCAACGTTTCCCTTTTTTAAAGGGAAATTCCCTTATTCCGAATAGGATTCCTTGCAAGAAAAAAGTTGACAGCTATGTACTAGACAGTATGTTAGGAGACTGGCCAGAAGCATGGCATCAAGTCATCAGAGAAGTACTTCGTCCTCCAAAGTGCCAAGCAAACACTTTTATTTATTTCATAAAATTTCTACATCGCTGGATTGGACAACAACAACAACAACAACAACCCTCAAAAGTGGTTTACCAAAGATAAAATAATGACACGATCACTAAGAAAAGTTGACAATATTTTATAACTAGCAGTATTTTACGACTAATAATTTAAAAAAACAATAGACTAAAAACATATTAGAACTCGCATCAACTTTATAAAACACCTGAGTTAGGCTTGTCCTAAACAAAAGTGGTGTAAGGGCATCATATAGGCCAGGGTTTCCCAAACTTGGGTCTCCAGCTGTTTTTGGATTACAGTTTCCATCATCCTTGACCTGCTGGCTAGGGATCATGGGAGTTTACAGGGCCACAGATTCCCCATTCCTGCTGTAGAAAGTCATCTTGAACATCCCCTTCTGTCGTGTTCCAGGGAGCTGAGAGCTCTAGCTTTCTTCGCTTGTTTGTTTTTGTGAAAGCCAGGAATTGCCACAAAGCCAGTAATCAAAACTTCCGGCTGTCCGTCCTCCCTCCCTCCCTCATTTCTCTTCTGAATCAGGCGTTCTCTCTGTACGAAGACGAAATCAGTGACTCAAAAGCCCAGCTGGCTGCAATCACCTTGATAATTGGGACATTTGAGCGGATGAAATGTTTTGGCGAGGAGAACCACGAGCCCCTGAGGACCCAGTGTGCCCTGGCGGCTTCCAAGCTGCTGAAGAAGCCGGATCAGTGCCGAGCTGTCAGCACCTGCGCCCATCTCTTCTGGTCCGGCCGGAACATGGACAAGAACGGAGAGGAGGTGAGGGAGTGACTTGGACTGCAGCTCTTCCATCAGCTCCAGGAAGCACAGCTGGGGGTGGGGTGGGAGTCAGCTACTGTCCCAGAATCTGCCCAACCTTTCCACTTGCTGATGCTGATTCTGACTTGGATTTGAGGGGTTGTCCGTGTGCCGAGGGCTGTGGTCCTCTGCGTGGTCCCAAGACACTTCTGCGTTGCGGGGGTTGGACTATAGACTACTTGCATCCCTTTCAACTCTGCCATTTTCTGATTCTGTGATCTAAAGGCAAACTTTCTGAAGTTAAGCAGGCGTGAGTCTGATCTATGCCTGGATGATAGACTCTAGGGCTGGGTGATACCTGGTTCTCAACATCGTGATATATCACCAGCTAAATATTGTGATACACTGATATATCACAATGTCTGAAATAAGGATAGAGCTGTGTAGAGGCGCTGGCTTGCTTCACAGTTTTCCCCATGTTGTGATTTTGCATAGCGCGCACACACATCATGATTCGCAATATATTGCCCAGTCAAAAATTATAAAACCGATGTCACAATATGGACTTCAAATCTGTTTTGGACGATATATCGCCCAGCCCTAACACACACCATGATTTGTTATATATTCCCTGGTCAAAAATTATGAAATGGATATCACAACATGGACTTCAAACCAATATCTCTCCCAGCCCTATGATAGACTGCCTGGTAACCTTGCATTCTCTGCCTTGAGTTTCATGACGGAAGCAAGATGGGAATCAAAATGTGCTTCAGTCAGGGGTAGGGAACCAAAAGTGCCCCTTGTGGCTTCTCTTTCTGGCCGTTGGGACTCTCCCCAGACTACACCTTTCACCAGTCTTCCTCCACACTCTCCTCTTGAGTGTTTTTCACCTGGGAAGAATGTGTCCTTGAGCTCTCAACTTTGGCTTTCCTGAATAGTGGGGGATTAGAGAAGGGCAGTGTTTTGCCTCTGGTCCCCACCCAGTGCTGGAATGTGGCTCTCACCAGGTTGCTTGGAAAGGAATGTGGCCCCTCTGGCTTTGGATAACTTCATGGGCCGAGGTGAACACTGAAGCTGAGAAAGGATCCCCACTCCTGTACTAAATGAAATATAGCTTCTTGGGAAAGAGTCACGTTGAATATGGCTGGGCTAAGCTGAGTAAATACTCATAGGTTGGAGGTGGAAAAACAAGTTGGTGGTGACAGTGACTGTGTAGCTATTTGCATGCAGTTGGGACTTGCTGGCTGAGTTGCAGTTGCAGTGGGGTGAGGGCAGGAATGGGGTAAGTTGTGCCCCAAGAAAGTAAGACTTGGATATATGGGAGATGCTGACCAGCTCTTTTCTGTTTGGTGCTTAGCTCCACGGCGGGAAGAGAGTCATGGAGTGCTTGAAAAAGGCATTAAAAATAGCAAATCAGTGCATGGACCCCTCTCTCCAAGTCCAGCTCTTCATAGAAATTCTCAACAGATACATCTACTTCTACGAAAAAGAGAATGATGCGGTAAGCGGAAGAGTGCCAAAACAGCACATGTGTTTGGAGGTTTTCTCAGTGGGGAAGGCTGGGCTTGGATGCCAGTGGCCTCCCAAATGTTGCTGAACTACAACTCCCATCATCCCTGCCTGTTGTCCTTCCAAACTGGCTAGGACAGATGGGCATTGGAGTCCAGCAGCATCTGGAAGACTGCAGCCCCCCCCCCCCCCCGTCTAAATAAATACTAGATATGTGATAGAAGCCTGACAGCTCTGCATTTTCCTCTGAATAGCAGTGGAGTTTTCCCTCTGCTCCCTTTCCTCCGGATCCAAGTTGTTCGTTCCATCTTTTGGAGATCCTGGGTATTTCACAAGCCAGTCGAAGACCCAGCATGGGAAAAGCAGCTGTGATGGAGGGAATGCATTAAACACTCCACCCACACTGGCAGAGAGTTCCTGCCTTGTGGAGCTGTTTTGCAGTGTGGCTGCAGACCTACAGAGTAGTGCTGTGTGTGTGTGTGTGTGTGTGTGTGTGTCCAGTTGCTGGGGATAACGGGAGTCAGAGTCCAGCACAATCTGGAAGGCTGCAGATTCCCTTTCCCTGATTTATGTAGTTACTTGTGTTCAACATAGCGCTAGGCAAAATATTACACCAGTGTCCAGATTTCATCATGTGCAGCAGAGCCTTGTCCCCTCCCCCTGTGCCACCCCCTAAATCTGTTCTGGGGGCTCCCCCAACCCTTCATAGCCAGATTAGGGGACTGCAGGGCATGCATTGGGGGAGGGGAGGAGCATGGGGGGGTGCATTGGAGCTAATCCTTACACTATCACAATTATGTAGTTGAATACCGCCCCTGATCATCTTAGTCCCAAGCGCTGCGAGGAAAAATAGTTGCAGGGTAGCTTATCTGCAGCTACCGATTTCTTCACTGGGAAGCACCCAGAATATTTTTATTTTATCTGTTTCTATAGAGCTATTCTTCAAAGCAGATTGCAGGGCAGGAACCGCTGCATGGTTCAGTTGGGCGACTAGTTCCATGGACTAATAAACCCAGCTGCCTTCTGCATCCTGCCTTCGTTATATACTGTATTTTTCGCTCTATAAGACGCACCAGACCATAAGATGCACCTAGTTTTTGGAGGAGGAAAACAAGAAAAAAAAATATTCTGAATCCCAGAAGCCAGAACAGCAAGAGGGATCTGGCTTCTGGGATAGCCTCTTGCTGTTCTGGCTTAGCCACGCGAAGCCTCTCCCGGGCAGTGGGATGAAGTCTCCCCCAAGAGCCACGCTCCCCTCCTTGGGGAAAAGCCCCCAAGAGCCGCACATATGCTCCATGGGGCTCTTTAAAGGGAGCGCTGAGGAGAGCCTCCTGCCTGCATTCGCTCCATAAGACGCACACACATTTCCCTTTACTTTTCAGGAGGGGGGAAAGTGTGTCTTATAGAGCGAAAAATACGGTACATTGCTCTCTTCCTTCTGATCAAAGGTTCTGACTTCCTGTTTTTTTCACATGCCGGGCTTCGTTGGTTCTTTTCCTTTCTCAGGTGACAATTCAGGTTTTGAATCAGCTCATACAGAAAATCCGGGAAGACCTCCCTAACCTAGAATCGACCGAGGAAACGGAACAGATCAACAAACACTTTCACAACACGCTGGAGCACCTGCGCTTGAGGAGAGAGTCCCCCGAGTCGGAGGGCCCCATCTACGAAGGGCTGGTCATATAGAGGGGGAGCCTCCTGTGTGTTTGCACCACACCCAACCGGATCACCTTTCCATTTACAACACAGTACCTGGGTTTTGTTTTTATTACGGCAATGCTAGAGTTTTCATAGATTTGTGCCTTTCGGAAGTGCCAAGTTAGGCTATCTGCTCTCTCTGTCTCTCTCCTTTTTTTGCTATCGTTTCAGTACTTGGCATGTATGTGCGACGTGTTCAGCGCTTTGCTTCCAAGCACTTGCGTTCACCACTTCTACCAGGTTTCCCCCCACCCCCAAAACTTTTTGGACCAGCAGCTCTGTAGAGACCATCAGAAAAATTAGCATGGCTGAAGTCATTCCTTCCTTTTTAAAAAAATAAATAAATAAAATCCATGTGGCAATGCCTCCCCCTGCCTCTCCCCCCCCCTTACATTCTGATTTGTCTTAGATAACTTCTCTTCTCCCCCCCCCCAGCTCAGAAACCTTTAATATCCTAACCTGGCTTTCCACCTGCAAGTGTTAATAGGTAGGGGGGGTGTTGGTTAGTTTTTACAGAGAGCTTTCATTTTCTTTATAGGTTGGATTCTGCTTCTACCCTTTCCCCCCTCCCCACCCCCTGAGGTTATGTCAGATTTTTCTTCCCTCCTATCCCTCCCCCACCCCTCTTAAAAACTAGAATATATTAATGCATGTTTTTGGAGTTGTAAAGCACCATGCTTAAAAATTAAATTCAGAAGTTTATATTTTGCATATGGAGGCTCTGTGACCCGCGGTGGAGGGCCAGTCATTGTGCACAGGGCGATATTTATCAAGGAAACTTTATTTCCGCATAGTATTGAGGAGGAGGAGGTGGAGAAAAGTAATAGATGAATTGTGGTCTCTATATAGTTCTATGTATAACCTTCGTTACTGTAAAATTTAGAGGGGTGGGGGAACGCATTACACAGTTCTGCTCCGTATCATGAATTTGCACCAGTGAAACCAATAAAGTTGCTATTAACGAGTCTGGCTCTGAATGTCTTCCCATTGCATCTAAGGCGGAGGGGTAGCCATCGTGGTGTCCTGCGGGTGCCGTTGAACTACAGCTCCCATTGTCTCTGCCCCGTTGGCCATGCTGGCTGGAGCTGATGGGAATTGGAGTACAACATCCAGGCAGGGACACAGGTTCTCCACTCTGTTTTAAAGGTTGGATTTCTCCCCCCACCCAGGTTTGAACAAGGTCCCATCATGCCCCCCCCCAAAATAAAAATCAAGAAAGGACAGCCTTTTGGCTTAAGCTAGGGATGAGGAACCTGTGACCCAATGGTCGGGGCCATAGTCGTAGGCCATCAACAACACCTGTCTTGTGTCTGTCCCTACCCCAAACTCATTCAACACCACGAGTCTATCTACAGCAGGCATAGGCAAACTCCGGCCCTCCAGATGTTTGGGACTACAATTCCCATCATCCCTGACCACTGGTCCTGTTAGCTAGGGATGATTTGCCTATGCCGGGTCTGCAGTGTGAGCAAACAGATGGCCACAAATGACCTCAGGTTTATATTTATAGTTATTCTTGGTTGTAGTTGGCTCTTCCACCCGTAGATACCTGGAGCGACCTGCAGAAAAAGGGGACAGAAACACTAAAAGCAACCCCTGTTAGACCATCACTGAAAGTGGCAACTAAAACAGCAGCAGAATTGGATAGTAAAGCCCAGAGGAAAAGATACAAAAATCCAGCATTGTCAGAAAGCAGTGACCCATTGCAATGAATAATGTTTGATGTTTTATCGCGTTTTTAATATTTTGTTGGGAGCCGCCCAGAGTGTCTGGGGGAACCCAGCCAGATGGGCGGGGTATAAAAAAATTATTATTATAGTAACCACATGTAGCACAACTTAATTTTAAATGGATGTAAAACAGCCCCTGGGGGCAGGGATTTAATGTCAAAATTCAGCACTGATCAAACCGAAAGGCCACTGAAAAGCAGACCTCTCCTACAAACTGTGACCTCTCCTGTGAGCTCCTCAGAAACTAGTCTCCTGTGTGCCACTTGGAGGCAACTCCTATGCCTGGTCTACTGCTTCATGTTTTCAAGTGACTCTTGGCCGCTTTGATGCCGACGTTGTTAAGGTGGTGAGCCAAAAGGTTTCTGGTATGGTGATGCTGGCCTGGATCCAAAGAGCTCTTGCATGAATGGAAAGGCACTTTCGCTCTTGGAAGACTCCCGCTTGTTGTACAGCACCTTCTCCCTCCCTCCCGAGAATGTCTCACCACCTGCCGTTTTAGAAGGTCATTGATCCTTGGGAATGCTGGCTGCCATCTGATTGTGTTAGATCCTGCCAAGCTGTCAATCTACAGCAGGAAGTGCAGAACATAAGAGTCTGCTGAGTCAGGCCAATGGCCCGCCTAGGCCAACATCAGTTCAATCCCCAATAGCATCTCCTAGTGAGTCTGGGAGATGCTGCTGCCAGTCAATATAGGCAATACTGAACTAGATGGACCAAATGGTAGGCAGCTTCATGTGTTTCTGTGATATACATGGAGCGGGTGGTGCTGTGGGTTAAACCACAGAGCCTAGGACTTGCCGATCAGAAGGTTGGCGGTTCGAAACCCTGCAAAGGAGTGAGCTCCCGTTGCTCGGTCCCTGCTCCTGCTAACCTAGCAGTTCAAAAGCACGTCAAAGTGCAAGTAGATAAATAGGTACCACTCTGGCTGGGAGGTAAACGGTGTTTCCGTGCGCTGCTCTGATTTGCCAGAAGTGGCTTGGTCATGCTGGCCACATGACCCGGAAGCTGTATGCCAGCTCCCTCGGCCAATAAAGTGAGATGAGTGCCACAACCCCAGAGTCGGCCATGACTGGACCTAATGGTCAGGGGTCCCTTTACCTTTACCTTCTTAGAAGATGGTCCTATCTAGCCCAGGACTGGCCTCTCCAGATGTTAGAGTCAATTCCCATTGGCCCCAGGAGGCATGACCAATGATTAGGGGAGAGGGGAGTTGTTTAGTCCATGAAACATCTGCAGAGAAGTTTGCACTGGCATGGCAGCAACTCTGAAAGAGTTCCAGGTCTTTTAGTACGAAATGGAATTGGGCCCCTTTGGGCATGCAAATCTTGTCATTTGCTAAGCACAGAGCTGATGCCAATAAACCCACATCTTAGCAGCTTTCTGTGTTTATTTTCCAAGTTAGCAAGGTGCCTTCCTTAAAGCATTTCCATAACATGTTAAAGGTGCTTCACAATCATGAAAGCCGATAAGCTGACTTTGACTAGAACATCAAAGTGGATTCCCTAAGGTTGAGCCTTTTGAGCCAGTTCTCCAATATTAAAAACATTTATGAAATACATACAAATGCACCATTGACCTACCAAAGGCTAAACCAGTTCACTGTTCATGATGCCAGTTTATTATGATACAATGAAGCATGGTATTCTTGAGGTGGGAGATGCCAAGAGACACCGACTACAGGAAATATCTCTAAAATACATAGGAAATGGAAGTCTGTTGAACTGAACTTCAGCAGGCCTGAATGGGTCATGTTGCTAATCTTTCCGTCTGTATGAAAATTATGTACAGGAGGTAACAGCCCAGTCTGATGAACTGCAGTGACTGCTGTTTTGCAGCAACTTGCAGTGCTAAGCTATGTTATGCTGTCCTTTGTAGCTATACACATCAGGGGTGGAGGAACCCGTGAACCTCCAGCTGTGGTTCTGCTCTCACAAGGTCTCACCAGCATGGCCAATAGCCAACCCTAAATGACTTGGGCCCCAAGAACCTGAAAGACTGCCTCCTTCCCTACAGACCCTCTTGGGTGCTGAGATTGGCAGACGGGAGCCTCTAGGGCAGGGGTGTCCAAACTTTTTTCAAAGGGCCAGATTTGAACATGTGTGAGGGCTGACCAAAGTTGTTGACCTTTTTTTAGGATTGAAGTTGCTGACCTTGTTTTACGGACTTTGGACATGCCTGCTCTAGGGTGTTTCTCTGCCATCAGAAGCACGGGGAGGTGGCCTTCTCTGTGGCAGCCCCTAAGTTGTGGAACTCCCTCCACACAGAGGTGCACCTGGTACTTTTTATTACACAGCTTCCAGAATATGTATTCATTCATTTAATTTTAATTAAGTTGATTGATGACATTTGTATATCACCAATTCTTCCAAGGAGCTCAAGGTTCTGTACATGGTTTTCCCCTCCCAGTTTTATCCTCACAACAACCCTGTGAATGAGGCTAGGCTGAGAAACTGGACCAAGGTCACCCAATGAGCTGCATGGCAGAGTGAGGATTTGAAGCCTGGTCTCTCCCATGTCCTAGTCTTGGCACTCTAACCATTTACACCACACTAGCTCTAAAATGCACATGACGTAAGTCTTTAACTTTTGACACTTTAGATGTATATCTTTAGGTTTGTTTTGACACACAGGCAGCCACAATAATCCAGCTATTGAAGGCAACTCATCATCTGCTTTAGCACAAATCTTGGGAGTGGTCTTGAATTCAACTAGAATCTGCAGCTACGGTAACTAAAAACCTTTCAGGTTAAAGCTGCTGTGTTAAATCTTGCTGCCCTGTTATACCTGCTTGCCTCGGGTTAAGCCTTTCTTCCCCATTTGCACCACTGCAATGCAGCCAATGCAGTAATCAGGCTTGGAAACAGCCATCCATTGGCTCTAATAGAGAAGGGGAGAAAGGAGGCAGTGGGGTAGATTGAAAGCCCCATGGGCCTCATCTGGCCTCCCATCCCATAATTCCCCACCCCTGCTTGAATGAAAACCTTGATTATTATTTTTTGCAGTTAAGTGCACCAACATACAGTGCCAAATAGGCAGTGCATTTCATAACATTGCAGACAGAATTCCACTGACTGCTAACTCTTAAGAGACAAGGCTCCAGTTTTAAGATGCCCAATGTATGAGTTGAGTTTCCTTACAACAATATCAATAATCGATCAGTCCTCATTGAGCATACATTAGCACTGCAGGATATTAGTTGCAAAGTCTTGTATTTTCTCAAAACAGCGCTGAATTTTCTAAATTTCTGCAGCACTGCAAAATAAAATATAAAAATCCAGCACATGTTTGAGGGTAGAATGTTGCAAGGCCATCTTTCGAACGCAGACAAGTCTTTAGGTCTTCAGACTAGCGTACAATCAATGTTTCTTTCTCAAATGAAAAAAACCACATCACTCTTAAAACCTGTTCTCTCGCCTTAAATGTTCTCACAGGAACATATTGGGGTGGATCTTAGCTTTCCCTGGGCACAACAGTTTGAAAAAAGCTTTTCTGAAACTCATGTGGCACAAAGGGTATAAAATGGGGTTAATGGCTGAATTCAACCACAGGAGCCAAAAGGAGGCTTCGTAGAGAGCATGTGGGATGCATTTCCCATGGCAAGCTGCTCTGATGATCATCAGCAGTGTGTAAGGAGCCCAACAAAGAGCAAAAATGCAGACGATGATGGCCAAAGATTTGGCCACTTTTTTATCCCGGGAAAGCCGGAACCGGCTAGCCATAGTGTTGGCAACCTCTGTTTTTCTCTTGGTGGTGGAAAGACTCTCCAGAGCTTTGTAGAAACCATCCCATGGGGATTTAGTCTGAAGTTCCACTTGCAAAGGCAGAAGATCTTGGTTGACGTTAAAATCGGCCGGCTGGCTCTGGAGGTGACCAATGCTGAGCTGCTGGACTGCGGGCTCAGCAAAGGAGGAACTGCTTGCTGTCTTCTCCTTACTCCTTTTCTGGCTCACTTTCATAAAAAAGTTGGGGTGTTCTTGCTTCTCTCGGGGGCGACTTTTGCCGCCTCTGTGACTGAGTGGCAGCGTCTCCCTCCTCAGGGGGGTCCTCTTCCTAATGTTGATGTAAATGCTTAAGTTGAAGTAGGAGACGCTGATGAAAGGAGTGAAGAACTCTATCGTGGAGGCAATCATGAGGAAGTACCAATTGTAGAAGAACTCAGCATAGCACTCTTTCTCGGGCAGGATGCTTCGATGTGCAATGTATTCCCAGCTGATGATCGCTGGGCCATAAAGGAGAAATGCTGCTACCCAGACCATGACCATTTTTACCACTGTGTTCCTGGTCATCCCCTTCTGAGCTCTGTAACTCACCTAGGTGGAAAGGTAAGAGGAAGAGTCAAGTGATGACTATACCATTAAAAACCCATTGCCATTAAAAAAAACAGCCCATGTTGTTTCTGGGATTGTGGAAGTGCTCATGGAATAGCTGCACTAGCTGCTGCTCTCGGCCGGAGGCTGAAATTAATTTTCAGCCTTTCTGCAGCCAGGTGTGTGAAGGTTGAAAACAGGTTTGTCCTGCTCCCTTAGGGCAAGAAATGCAAATAGGTCTGAGAAGAGGGCTGGGATCGGTGTGATGGCTGCTGGTGTCCCAAAGTTTTCTGCTTAGAGCAGGGGAAAGTGGTGGGGACTGTGACATTAGCTCGGCAGGGATGCAGAGATACTTAGTGGGAGTTGGAATGATGTGATGAAGTTGGGTAGAATAAGGAAGGGTGGCTTGAGCTTCACAATAGTGGGTGCCAGAGAGCCAGGGGTGGAGGGGGGTCACAAAGGAATTGGGACAGGAGGAAGAACAGCTTGGCAGAAAATGAAAGGCAAATGGGGGCTTTGGGAGGGGGTTTTATTTCTTTTGCAGAGGGGCAGCTATGGGTACCAGAAGGTGAGGTGGGGAGAGGTAAATACCACACCTCTGAAATCCATTTAAGCTACAGGTCCTTGAACAGACAAATGCAAGAAATTTCCTAATATTCAAGCTATGACAGGAGTGTACATTTTTGCTTTGATAAGTGACTTCTCATGGCTGTTCTTTTGTACCAAGAAGCTCCTTGCATGTGGATGAAATGGATGCACTCAAGCCACTTTGCGTTTTACTCTGGCTTGTGTTTACAATGCTAGAGGTGGTAGAGAAAGAGAGGAGGGGAGGGGAGCTTATTTTCCAAAGGAATGTGAAAGCCTCACAGTGTGCATCTGATTACCATAGGGCAGTGAGGGCTGAGATTAATACCTAGAGGAAATTATGGTAGCACCATGAACAAAACGTTGGGAAGAGGAATGCAATAAAAGCACTTTCCTTTCACCGCAAGCCCTTTGATAAAGGGAAAGTGATCTCAATGATAGAACGAGGTCCAGAATAAAGTTGGTTTTGCTGCGGGTTTAGCTCTCGCAGCTCCCTGAAGGTCACTCAAATTATTCAGGGTGGCTGGCTGGTGCGGTCCTGAAATGCTATCGACAAAGATCTGGAGCGGGGTTGGGCAGCCTGCAGTCCTAAGGTGTCTGCCAAGGCTAATTTTATGTGGTCCTTGCACTAATTTCAGGTGGGTAGTAAGGAAAGGTGAAAAGAGGGGAAAGGGAGTGGGAGGGAGGGAGGGGGGGAGAGAGAGAGAGAGAGAGAGAGAGAGAGAGAGAAGGGGATGGCAGGGAGAGAGGGAGGTAGAGAGAGAGAGACTGAGTGAATGAGAAAGGGGTGGAAGAGAGGAAGAGAAGGGTTGGCAGAAATAGAGAAAAGGAGAAAGAGAGAGATGGCAAAAAGAAAAGTGAATTGGGGTGTCAGAGAGACTGGGATGGCACAGAGAGAGACACAAAGAGAGAAAGGGTGGCATAAAAAGAGAGGGAAGGGGAGAAGGGAGGGCAGAGAAAGAGATAAAAGACACACAGAGAGAAAGAGATAAAAGACACACACACACACACAAAGAGAGAGAGAGAGAGAGAGAGAGAGAGAGAGAGAGAGAGAGAGAAAGGGAAGAGGTGGAAGAAAGATAAGAGACTCTGGCCTCATCCACAAATATTATGCAGCCCCTAGGGAATTTGGCCCTCAGCAATTACAGAAAAAAATGGAGCTACACAGCATATAACCAATTTTTCATAATTGGGAGGTATTGATAATGGGAATTACCAGTAACATACTGATGCAGTAACAGGAGAGCAAACAAAAGCAACTTCCTAGGTTGGCTTTTTGCAATAGTGCTGTGCTCAGGCACCTCCTCTCACTCCAGGGACACACAAGCAGCCCTGGGACTTTGGAAGGCCTTAAGAAGCTCAGGGTGTCAGTAGTAGAAAGCGATGTTCCTTACCGCCTTTGTCACAGAGATGAATCTGTCAAAACTGATCAGAACAATGTTGAAGACGGAAGCGCTGCAGACCAGGTAATCGGCCACCAGCCAGAGCTTGCACAAGCCCTTTCCAAACTTCCACTCGCCTGTCAGGATGTAAGGGATGTACAGAGGGATGCAAAATCCACCTGTGGATATTGACCAAGAAACAGCACTGGTGAGGGAGTCTTAGCCTAGCTTTCTTACCAGAGAGACAGGTTTTGATGTGGAGGAACTTTCTAACAAATATACACCCCACCCTCCCCATTACACAGAACATGAATTCTGAGGTGGCACAGTCAAATATCAGTTGGAGACCTCCATTTTGTCAGAATACTTAAGGCAGGGGTGGGCTAGGTGATTATTGTTTGCACTCCAGTTGTCCAGCTGGGGCTCTAATTTTGTGTCTGCAATGAGGTTAGCTGACACAAGAGTGGGAGTCTTCCTTTGGTGGCCCCGCACTTGTGGAACTCTGTTCCTATGCAATACATCAGACTCCATCACTGCAGGGCTTTAAATAAATGGTGTATGTGTGTGTGCGTGTATACGTGCATATGTAATAATTCATGCTTGTGAATAGGGGTGTATGCCATTTCCAGGACATATTTTATTTTCCATTCTGTGTCGAAAAATACATTATGGCAGTGTCTTCCTGGTGTATGTAGTGAGATGAAACATTCTGCAACCTTTCTTACACCACAAAAAAATCATACAGCTTGTACAGCAGGAATCAGTTCTCATTCTGCTTTCTCCAGACTTTCATTTGCTGCAAGCAGACAGCCAGTGCTACTAAATAGTACACTAAAGGTTCCTTAAAGATTTAGTTTAGCACATGTTTGTAGGCTCAAATACACGAGCGATTTCATATATTGCATGGTATTACAAGATAATCACTCTTGAGTGGAAAGCCCTCCCTTATTCCAGATGTTGCAATTGATTAGATGCCACATAAAAATAAAAGCCACCTTTAAGAGTCAGTGTGGTGTAGTGGTTAGAGTACTGGACTAGGACCTGGAAGACCAGGGTTCAAATCTCTACTTGCCCATGAAGCTCACAGGGTGACTTTGAGCCAGTCCCTGCCTCACCGCCTAACCTACTTTGTAGGGTTGTTGTGGGGATGAAGAGAGGAGGGGGAGAACCATACACACCCTCATGAGTTCCTTGGAGAGCAAACAATACTTATTGAGAGGTGGTGGAAGCAACCTAATGTGATGGCTACTGATACAGCTACAAGCTACAAATTTTCTCATGTACAATTAACCCAACCATGTGTTGTTGATCATCTGTATAATGCATATGCAAAAACATTTTCTAATCTTGCTTGTGCTTACAAATACACCTGCATAGTGACTTCCTCTATCTACTTACATACATGGTAAGCTGAGGGTGAGAAAGATAAAGCCACATAGAGGCCATTTCAATGGAAGCATCTTGGCTGCAGTTTACTGTTTATCATTTATACCGCGTGTTCATTTTGCCAAGTACCGTACTTTCATCTTGGGTTTCCCTTCACCAAAATCCCCATTGTGTATTATTGTTGTGTTTATACACCCACACACCCACACCACATTTAAACCCTGCCTTTGCTCCAAAGAGTTCAAGGGAGCCGCATGCTTCTCTTCAATTTGATCCTCACAACAACCATGTTGGGTAGGTACAGCTGAGAGACAGTGACTGGCTGAAGGCCCTCTCCCAGTGAGTTTCATAGATAAGAGAGGATTTGAAACATGGGTCTTTTGGGGCTTAATCTGACATACCAGCCACTACACTGCACTGATTTTGTTACACGCACACGCACACGCGCGCACACACACACACAATTTTTCAGTCAATGTTTCCAAAGTGGTGCCCAAGTAAATAACTGCATTAAAACAATTAAAAATATAAATATCAAATTAGCCTAGCACACAGGAAAAACAATATTAAAACCCCCATCAATCAGCAGAAAATAGGCAACATTAAAAAAGGTTCTGTTCCAAAAACCCAGCAAAACTAGTTTGCTCACACTTGGTTAGGGAGCCATATGAAAGAGGGTGAAAAATGGCAAAGGGTGTTCTGCTTCTTTGGGGCTGCAACGATGAAGTTTCTGCTGCTTGTGGAATCAGTCACACCTCCAAATAAGTTGGAACTTGAAACACGGTTTCATTGGCTGACTTTAAACTTTGGGGGCTTTCCATATATAATTATTAGTGTACCCCCCATGGGGAAAAGGAGCCAAGAGAGGAAGATTGGGGCCAGATTTCACTCCACCAGATCCAACTTTCTTGATCCCCTGGCCCAGTGTCCTTGAACCTTGTAGCCCAGAAACATCTGGGGACCCAACTCCCATCACTCATGACGATTGGCTGAACCAGCCAAGGGTGAAGAATACTGTCCTGGCCCCTGGCCCAAACTCAAGTTGTTTGTGGGGAGCTCCCTGGCTTCACTCACCTACTAAAAGATCAGCAATGGCCAAGTTGAGAAAGAAGAAATTCCCTTGGGTCCGGAGGCTCTTGTCCACCACGAAAGCCAAGATGACCAGCGCGTTGCCCAGCACCGTGATCAGAACCACGAGTCCCATCAGCGAGGCCAGTAGGGCGGAGACGGGCGCGGAGAACTGTCCGTGGTGCTGAAAGTGCCGCTCCTCGCCCGCCGCGCACCCGTTGCCCAGCGAGGCAGAGACGCTGGAGAAATTGGTATCCAGCCGCTCTTCCGCCATAGCTGCAGGGGGAGAGGAGGAAAGAAGAGGCAGGGCGGCCGGAGACCCCCAAATTGCAAGGGCGCGATTTCAAATAAATAAAATATATATATATATATAAATATTCGTGTTACAAGAACGACGAGAAGCGTTTCATTCCTTGACTGAGACGCTCTACTTGGGAGGACGAGTGAAGCTTCTGGCTTGAACGCGGGACTTGGTCGGCTTGAGTGAGTCAGCGGTCGATGGGCTCCCCCCGCCCTCCGGCTGGTGGGGGAGGACGGAAAATGAACGGAGGGACGCGGCCGGGGGGATCCGAAAAAGAAGCAGTGGAGATGGAGAGGCGAAACGCAGAGCAATACAACCTGCTTTCCTACCTAGCGCATCTGCCAGAATCTGCATCCAATTCAATGCCATTCCCTTGTACGCTTGAAACTTGCAGAAGGTGTGTGTGTGTGTGTGTGTGTGTGTGTGTCCCTCTCCCGCTTAGTGCTGGACTACCGAGTGAACAGACTAAGCACATGCTTAGGTCACCAGCAAAAAAAGGAAAAAGAGAGGGTTTGTTTTTTTAAAGAAAGAATTTGATATTTCAAACGACGACAACGACGACAAAGACATAAGGGCAACAAAGAGCACCCAAGTGCAGTAGGGGAAAATCAGAACTTTGATAGACGTCCTATCTCCCAACGCCACACTCTCCCCACATTTTTCTTCTTCTCTTTTTATTATTTATCCCCACCTAAACCAGGGGGTGTCCAACAAAAGCAGATCAAAATAGCGTGAAGAAATCAGATCTGGTCATGCGTTGCAATAAATCCATGCTTTGTTATTTTAAAATTTTGTTTTTATGCTTGAATTACATATGGGGAGGGGGGGGGAGAGACTATAATCCTTTCAGTGCTTAGAGACTCCAAACGTCTTAAATCCAGCCTTGGCCCCACTATATGGACTTTGGTCCTTTCCCCTCCAGATCTTGCAGTTCTCCCTCCTTGTAGATTCCAGAGCTTTGCTGAATATTATTTCAATTGAAAGCATTGCAAGGTACAAAATGGCTCCTGTTGTCCAGCGGAAAATGCCTACAGCTGTAGAGGGTGGGGACCATGCTTTCCCCTCTAGCCAATGGGGAGGGTGGGGGGAGATAGGAACAAGACTTATCCTACAAACTTTTGGAAAAACCAAAGTGATTGTGGTTAAGTCAGCATAAATGGACAAGTTTCTAGAACAGAGGAGGTGGATGTGTGGCCCTCCAGATGATGCTGGACTACAGGTGACCAGGGAACACGCTAACTGCAGCCAATCCAATGTGAATCACGCTTGGGGAACTTGGCTGCCTCCATCCCAAATGTTGGACTGTAACACATTTTCTTTTGCCTTAAGCTTTGTTCTGGGCAAGTAACTCTGAAACAAGATGATGCCACAAAGCCAGTTTTTTCCTCTTTTTTGCCACTCATACACCAGCAAAGCTCACTGACAAACTGGTGCAGGTGCAGAGAAGTTCAACCAGGTTGGTGAAACCAAGTCTGATAATGAATTGTTGAAAGAGCTGGACACGTCTAGGCTAGAGAAGGGATGACTAAGAGGAGACGTGCTAGAGGTCTTCAAGTGGTTTAACATTGAGAAGGGCTTGAGGAAAATAAGTCTCTGTCTCTCTCCCAACCCCAGCTGTCTGAGAACAAATTCGCTGTGTGTGCATGTGTTGTTGTTTTTTAAAGAAAAACACTTCCCCAATTTTTTTCTTCTGCATATGTGGATGTTGAGTATATCCACATGCTCCCTGCATACTTGATTGTTTGGCAAAAATATTCCCTGAACATTTAGATCTCCCATAATATTTGGATTTAGTGTTTGACAAAATGGGACAAAGAATAGTGTTCAATATTTGGTAGTTGCCATGAAGTGATATTTCATTCTTGCCAGCATCTGATGGCTGCTGTACAATGGCATTTAAAGTGTGAGATTGAATTTGCTAGATGACATGCAGTCACATTTAATATAAACATATTGCAGAAAGAAAAGAATGTGGTAAGACTGCTGGTTGAAAGAATAAAGGATCTTTATAAAGGAACTTCTGGCAAACCCCTGATGCTTAAAGTCGGGGTATTGTGTAGTGGGATTTTGTTGTTGATATTATTCCCCATTGGTTAAAATGTTTTCAATCATCTTTAACTGCTTTTTAAACTCACGTGTTTTAAAGTTGGGTTTTTGCTGTTGTTGAATTGATGTGGGATGTGTCTGGGAAGAGAGGAACTGGGGAGATCAGGGGGTCCCCAATCTCAGCGGTTCTGGGTAGGAGGAGCTAGGGTGTAGGAAGCTGGGCAGGCCTGGTAAGGGATGTGGCTCTGAGTAGGACCTCCCTCATCCATGACTTGATTATGGATGAGGAAGCTAATCTGGTCTGTATCACAGAGAACTGCGTGGATGAGCAGGGTGGAGTTGGTCTCACCTGGCTACTCAGGGCAGCATCAGGGTAGACGAGAGTTGGGGAGGGGGAATTGCTGTAGTCTATAGAGATTCCATCTCTTTCTCCAGCCTTTCTGTCCAGTTGTGTGTGTGTGTGTGGGGGGGGGATCTAGCATGTAACTACCAGTCAGTTATTTCTGTTTTGTTATACATTTTGTGTTCTTTGTTGTATTTTTATGTTGTGAACCACCCTGCGACCTTTGGATGAAGGGCAGTATACAAATTAGGTAGATGATAGATAGACAGAGCCATTCTGAATACAAGCTTGGTGTCATGGTGCCATGACATTAACAAAAGTCAGGTCTAAGACTAGCTGACTGAAGAGTAGGAAGGAAGTGAAGCCTGGGAAAAACAGGTGGTTACATAACAAGGAATCTGTGAGGGAGGAGTATGTTACCTCTCTGTCTATTGCCCCCACCCCCTGCTCTAGTCCAGGCAACTTATTGCAAGTGCTGTTGCTTTACTTCCAACCAGAAGAGAACAACCCTCCTCCCAGCTTAAGAGTTGGTCTTCAGGTGTGTATATGAAGGAACAACAGAAGCATTTTGGGGATCAGAGGCACAGACAGATACAGCACATGACAGATCGCCAAAGAGCTAGCTGGAGGCTCAAAGCTGTTTTGGGGTACTGGAGTGCCTCTGTGGATCAGATGGGGTTAGGAGATTGTAGATTTGCACCTTCAGCTGTTTGCCTGCGTAATAACATATGAAGAGCCTGTTGGATCAGGCCAATGGCCCATCTAGTCTAGCATCCTGTTCTCACAGTGGCCAACCAGATGCCTGTAGAGACAGAGCATAGCCATCACGGATAGTACCATCAGTAGTCCTCTCCTCCATGAATTTGTCTAATCCTCTTCTGAAGTCATCTAGGTTGGTGGCTATCACTGCTTTCAGTGGGAGCAAAGTCCTCAGTTTAACTATGTGCTGTGTGAAGAAGGGCTTTCTTTTCTCTGACTTGAATCTTCCAACATTCAGTTTCACTGGATGTCCTTGAGTTCTAGTGATGATATTAGAGAGGGAGAAAAACATTAATCTATCCACTTTCTTTGTGTCATGCATTATTTTATAAACTTCTATCATCTCACCTCTGACATGCCTTTCCTCTAAGCTAAAACATCCCAAATGCTTCAGCCTTTCCTCATAGAGGAGTTGCTCCATTCTCTTGATAATTTTACTTGCCTTTTCCAACTCCACAATATCCTTTTGCAGCCTTTCCCTGCAAAGCACTATATTCACAAAATATACTTGCAATTCTCTGAGGCCATGAAAAGGAACATTTCTGTATGTATCCTGAAAACAAAACATCTCCGGAAAAGCAATGAAAAGACAAAGAAATGGCAATAATAGCATACGCTAGGCTCACAGGAATGCCCAATAACCAAGCCATACTACAGGGTATAATGTATATTGCCTATGCCTATTGCAATTGACCTTTAGCTCAGTGGTGGAACACCTGGTTTACAGAGCCTGGGTTCAATCCTCAGCATATTCTGCTCACAGAATCTCAAAAAAACAACTGCTGTTTGTTTGGGAATGATCTGTATCCAAGATCTTGGAGAGCTGCTGCCAGTCAGAGCAGGGGATTCTGGACTGGTGGACACATTAGGGTGGGGGACGGGGGATGGGGGACAGGACCTAAAGCCCTTCAGATATTGTTGGACTTCAACTCACATCAGACAGCATACCCAATAGGCATGGAAACTGTATTCCAACAACATCTGGGAGCCTGCTAGGTTCTCATCCCTGCATTAGGGTTGTATTCAGCTCAGTCATACTTAAGAGTTGTGTTAGCAGAACCACTTCAATAATGCATATGGAGTCCAGAGAGAAAAGAAACTGATAATTCTTTACTGTGGGAAATTGAACGAAAGCAGGGTATAACATGAGCAGAAATAAACAGAGAGCTTTTGTCCTTCTTAATAGTTCAAGCCCAGTTTGTAGCAGGAAGATTTTCAACATATAGGGGGGAATTCCCTATGGCCTACACAGAAAGCCAGAGCATGAGTTACCTCAGCAAGGATCATGCCATTCTGACTGCTTGCTAGTCAACACTCCCCTTGTTTGGCTAATTGTCAACAGAGTTAACCCTTACATGACTAACTGAATGATCCCTGCTGCTGTACTTCTAAGAAGTAGGCCATTTGAGATTAATGGACCTATGCTAATCATGCCTAAAAATTTCTATACTTCTAATCTGAGTATGACACAGTTGGAGGCAACCCTTGGGGTCTTTCAGTAGAAAGCACCTTGGCATACAAATGTTGCTGGCTGGAAGTGTCTGAGGATGTTTTATGAAAAGAGTAAGGCGGCAGGAATTACTTGATCACAGGCTGCAAATCATTCACAGCCAGATTTGAGCTTTGACTCCCTGTGGTGCACAAAGAAGATTGATCTATAAATGTTAGAGATTGGTAGTTAAGAAACTGCTTCAGTTCAACCCAGCTCTGAAAGGTTGCAGCCAACGATTTATCAGCCAGAGAAATCAAAAAGCTTTCATTAGAAAAAGTCTAAATTTAATTAAGTGGCTGGAGAAAATCTATCACACTCATTTCCTATCTGCTTACTTGGCTGCGCTTGACAAATTAACATTTTTGCGTCCACATGGATTTATTTGTGGTTACAGCATCTCCGCTGCCCTTGGGTCATTTCCAGGCAAATAATAAAATCTTAGTTTGTTTACAGGAGTGACTCTTTCCTCTACATGCCTGCACTGTAAAGTGGTAATGACAGGAGGAGTTGGCTGCAAATTCCTGAAACATTTATTTGTGGAGAGAATGCAGTTAG